CTGTTTTTCTGTAGACTTAAGGAACACAGGAACTAGTGTGGAATGTCCCTCATGTCGCATGGAGCCTGTAGCTGTAGCATATGCAGGTTTCAGTGGTTTCCCTGCCCTTAGCCCTAATTTAGTAATGAGAATTCCTTTTCTGGTTTGTCTGAAGCAAACCATAGTCAGTTACTGATAGGCAATGGAACTAATGGAGATATTTGAACAGAAGTGTAATAAGATTAGATATATATACATGAGGAAGATTAGTGTGGCAGTAATATAAATGATGACTTGGAGGAGGGAAGAGGGTTGAGTCAGGAAGACTGGTAGAAGGCTACTGGAATAGTTCTAATAATGGTGGTGGCAATGGAAACAAAAGAAATGAATGTTGCATAGGTAGAATTAATAGGATTTGGTAACTGATTTCATGTGAAAAGTAAGGGAGAGAGAATAGCAAGAAATAAAAAACAATATTTCAAATATATATTTCTCCCAAGGTTCTGTCCTTCTTTTCTCTATCTGTACTTTCTCCCTTGATAGTCTCATCTTCTCCCATGGTTTTATCATCTCTGTATAGCTGTCTTGCAAATCTATCCACAGGCGGTCTGGCACAGTGGATCGAATGTGCACTGGCTTTGGAGTTAGAAGACGTAGGTTCAAATCATGTCTGCCACATTAGTCAGTCAATAAGCATTTATTATCAAGCTTCCAAAAGATTGCTTTATAGAAATAGAAAAAATGACATTCATCTAGAGAAACAAAAGATCTAGAATCTCAAGGAAATAATGAAAAAATTGGGAAGGAAGAGTACCAGAACTCGAACTATACGACAAAGTAGTAATTGTTAAAAACAATTTAGTCTCGGTAAAGGAAGTCAATCAATGGAGCAGATTAGTTAAAAAGCATACATAAGCAAATGAACCTAGTACCTAGTGCTTGATAAACCCCAAAACTGCAGCTACTAGATAAAGACTATTTGACAAAATGTTGGGAAAACTGAAAGGCAATCTGGCAGAAATTAGATTTTGACCAGCATCTCACACTATATAGCAAATGTAGGTATATACCATATACCTCAGCTCCAAATGGATATATTGCTTATGTATAAAAAGTCACATGATAAATGAATAAGAGGAAGGGAAGAAATTTTAGTTCTATCCCTAAGGGAAGAGTTCCTAAAAGAGGATCACAGAAGCTAAAAAGGGCAATTTTGATCATAGTTGAAAAGTTTTGTACCAACAAAACCAATGCAGCTAAAATTAAAAGGGAAAGAATTAACTGGGAGAAAAATCTTTGTAGAAAATTCGCCTGATAATGGTTTCATTTCCAAGATATAAAAGGAATTGATTCAAATTTATAGGAATGAAAGTCATTCTCTAACAAAATCAATTGGATCTGAGTAGGTAGTTCCAAGCTATCAACAGCCAAATTTTTTTTAAAATGCTCCAAATCACTGATAATTACAGAAATACAAATTAAAGCAACTCTGAGGTTCTACTTCATAGTCATCATAAAGATGACAAAAAGGGAAAATGACGAATTTTGGAGGGGCTATAGGAAAAACAGGCACATTAATGTACTGCGGTGGATCTGGGAATAGCCAAGCCATTCTGGAAAGTAGTTTAATGACCTGCCCCATTAAATTGTAACCCTCTGATTCAATGACCTCTTCTAGACCTATACCTCAAAAAGATCAGAGAAAAGAAAAAGACATTTAACTATAAAATATTTATAGCATCTCCTTCTTTTGTAGTGGCAAAAAAAACCCCTGGAAACTTTTTTGAATTGGAGAATGGCTGATCAATACAATGACCAACCATAATTCCAGAGGACCAATGATGAAACATGTTTCTCACCTCTTGATAAAGAGATGATAGATTCGAGATATAGAATGAGACATACATATGTAGACATGGACAATCTGGGGATTTGTTCTTCCTTGATGAAGCACATTTGTTACAAGGAGTTTTATTTGTGATTGAGGTACAACACAGAGAAAATACTTCTTAAATGAAAAATTTAAAAAAACAAGAACAAGCATTTATTAAGCACTTAATATATGCCAGTCACTATGTAAGTGCTGGGGACACAGTGGAAAAACAAAAATTTCCCCTGCCCTCAAGGAATTTCTACTGGAGAAATAACATATAAATTTTTTAAAATACCATATTTCACCTCATAATCATCACCACCACAATTGTTGCACCCTGTTTTTTTAGTCCAAAAATTGGTTCATAACCTTTCATTGCATAATCATCTCATGGTATAATTCTGTTCATTACACCACTTAAAAAAGGTAAACAGAGCAGCAATATATTCACCAGTGGCATGTGGATAAGCATTTATCTCTCATGCATTGCAAGGCACAAGCCTAGAATTCTCAGCACACATGCATTGTCAGTATATTTCTGAAAACCGATATGCATGGTTTGTTTAGAGTGCTGCAGTACTAATGGCATTGTCACTCAACCCAGTGAAAAGCATTGTGAAGGAGACAGGCCAGCAAAGCTGCCATGAGTAAGTCATGTGATATAGTAAGACTTACATCTTCCCTTGCTAGCTAAACTGTACAGTTTGTCTGCCAGTGACACATTAACATGTAAAGGATTTCTTTCTGATTATGGTAAATATAAAAACTATTCTACAGGCTTCAAGCTGAAAGTTCCATTCAAAAACACCTAAATAGATGCAAAGAAACCATATGGTAGGGTTATAACATGGTACTGGAGTTCAGTGGTAGGACAGAAAAGCAAGCAACTCAAGAATAGAAGACAGTGTAGAACTGAACTAGTTCTACAGGGGAGTAGTGGGAAACACAGGTAATATCTTGGGATAGTACTGAGAGATGGAGGGACTGGAGGTCATATGATGGGGATAAAGTTTAGGAGAAATGAGGCATAAGGAGAAATAAGAGGTTAAAGATGATGATCAGATAAAGCAAATTCATAGTTCTTGAACATGGAATCAGAATCTCTGTGGGTGATTATGGCCAGATTGGGGGTATAAACATCTCTATGTGAAGCTGAAGTGGAAAGGAAGAGGAGTAGATTATAGGAAGTAAATTGAAGAACTGGTAAGTTAGGGCATTTGAGGCAACGTCTACATGAATGTTGATCAGAGGAGAAAATATTCCAAGCATTTAAGAGAGCCTATACAAATATATGGGGGTGGGAGATGGAATGCTCTGTGAGGAAGGCAATATAATCCATTGGGCTGAAGCATGGAGTCCATGAAGGTATTATGTAATAAGACTGGAAAAGTAGGTTGGGAGACTGCAGAATTGGAAAACTAGGTGAAGTATCACTAACAGAACTAGATGTTACTAACAGAATCAGAAAAAGGAACAGGACACATTCAATTTGAGACAGTAGTTAGACATACACTTGAGAGATCTCCTATAGCTACAGAGGTTGGTCATAAGGTCTGGAGCTTAGAAGAGAGATCTAAACTGGAGACATATATGTGGTATTTCTACAGTTACGTTCACAGACCTGGTATTTGAAAAGCAGTATGATGTAGTCACTAGGACACTGGGCATTGGACATGGGAGTCAGAAAAACCTGGATTCAAATTCTGTCTTCCATATATGCTCCCCTTGTGACCTTGGACAAATCACTTAATCAATCTATTTCCTCATCTGTAAAATAAGGGGGTTGGAGACTTGGTGATAACAAACTTGGCTCTCAATAGAGCACTGGGCTTAGCAGTCAAATTCTGACTCACTATCTGTGTGCCTCTGGACAGATAGTGAAACCGACTGCCTCAATTTCCTCACCTATAAAATGGGGATAATAATAGCACCTACCACTCAGGGATCAAATGAGATATTTACAAAGCACTTAGCAAATCTTAAAATGCTACATAAATGCTAGCTATCATTATTGTTATAACCATCTTTGGAAATTCTGGGGAAGTGATTTACAACTGCCAAGGAAGAAAGTTATAGAGATGACAAGAGTGACAAGGACAGGCCCTTCAGAGAAGTGGTAGGAGGAGTAGGGGGCAGAGGAAGTTGCAAAAAAAGAAGACACAGGGGTCAGAGGATCTAATCCAGGGTCAGCGTCTACCTAGTTGTTACCTGGGGCATGTCATTGCCCTCTCTGGACTCGAGTGTCCTCTAATCTTTCTAAACCTTTTTTTTCTGGTGTGCTGGCCTCCACCCTTTCTGCAAGTCTGGTGAAGCCCCTCTCTGGGCCCATTCCCAGTCATGTTTTGTTGTTGTTTTTTTCTTCTTTTTAGGCAATTGGGGTTAAGTGACTTGCCCAGGGTCACACAGCTAGTAAGTGTCAAGTGTTTGGTCTGAGGCTGAATTTGAACTCAGGTCCTCCTGACTTCAGGGCCGGTGCTCTACCCACTGCGCCACCTAGCAGCCCCACCAGTCAAGTTTTTAAATACACAAAATAAAATACGTAGGATTACAAAGGAAACCAACTATAGCTAAAGTCATTAAATAAAAAAAAAATTCAGGGACCCCCGGGCCAAGCACCCCTGACCTAGCTCCGGTCTCCCCAGGCGCCTCGGCCTCTAGACCCCACGACCACACTAGTAGCTTTCAAATGCAACTGCCAGCCGAAAGACAAACCTGCAGCCCCATAGTCCAGAAGGAGAAACTGAGGCAAAACACTAGCCTAGGGTGACGCATCTATTGGGTCGGAGAGTGGGAGGGGAGGGAGCGGGTGGGGCGGGAAGAATCCAAGAAGCGCTAACCAGCTTCCGCTCGCCCCGAGGAATAAAGACCACATGCCACGGACAGAGACCGAAAAGGAAACCCTGCTCTTCCGTCACACGGAGGCGAAGGTAGGGACCCGCCCGGAAGTCCCGCCCTTCACCAGGAGACAGTCCTATCGCAGCTCTCCCTACCGGGCGTGGGGGCGGGGAAAAGGATGGCCTACATCTCCTTCCGTTAACGTCAACACGCACAACGACACCTCAGCCAATCAGTTCAACCCACAGAGCGACCGCAAGCCCGCCAAGTGCCTTGGCGTCAAATCAGGGGCGGGGCCAAATTAAAGTTTTGGCGGGGAACCGAGCTAGCTCGTTAGTTGAGAGGTTGGCTGCGCGGAGCGGATCTCGGTGAGTGCAGGGGAAGGGGTCAGGGGCCCGGGGCGGAGCTGAAGAGGCTCCCACGCCCGGAGGGATCGGCTGGTTTGAGGGGTTCAGGAGGACGTCCAGCCTTGGCGGGCAGCGGCCTGGGGTTCCAGGGTGGGAGGCGTTAGGGAGCAGGGGTGTCCTCGTTAACGTCTCCAAGGCGTCATTATCTGGTAGGAGCAGGAATCAGGGATTTAAAACTCCTCAGTTTTACAGATGAGGAAACTGAGTCCCTGGGAGATGGTTTTAGGTCACACAGCAAGTCAGTGGCAGAGAATGGATTTGAACCTGTGACCTTTGACTACAAATCCATGCACTGCAGTTTCTGAGTCTGATACTGTATCTAAATCCCGATAAGGCTAAAGCATCAGTTTATGAAGCTAACCTTTTCTGCTGAATGAATGAACTGGAATGTCAGCCAGCTTGTAACTAGATATGTTTCAGCACAGTAGTGAATAAAATGAGGTCATGTTCTTGTACAGGTAGTCTGGTCAGCTGCTTTTCCTTTTAAAAAGAAACTTTTCACGTATACCAAACTCCTCCTGATCTGATATAATTTGACTGTAAAATGCCAAGGGACCGAGTGATAGAAAATTGCACATGTTGAGTCATATACCTTTAGGGGTAGGAGTAGATATAACAAACTAAGATATTAGAATTAATAAAATAAACAAAAGTAGCTACTTGCCAGGGAAGACCATCTGGATCATGGTTAAAATAAAATCTCAAAGTCAGAGGAAAGTACATGTAATAATGGGGTTATCTGTACCAATCCTGACTTTTCCTAAGCTTTTCCTCAAATACCTTTCCTCTCACTTTCTTCTTAACTCTATATCTGGCTTCCAAGCTCATCATTCAACTTAAACTAACTCTTCCAAGTTACTAATGATATTTTTATTGCCAAACGAAATAGGTTTTTCTCAGTCCTCATCCTTCTTAACCTCTTTGAATTCACAAACACTGTAGATCACCCTGTTCTCCTTGATACTTTGTCTAGGTTTTCATGACAACTACTCTCTCTGGGTTTCCCTTGAGTACTCTTCAGTCTCTTTTGCTGGATCTTCATCCACATCACTCCCATTAACAGTAGTTGTTCCACAAGGCTATACTCTGGACCCCCTTTTCTTCTCCCTCTGTACTATTTCATTTGATGATCTCACTAGCTCTGTTTGATTGATTCAGTTATCATCTCTATGCTGATCATTCTCAGATCTACTTATCCAGCCCCAACCTCTCTCCTGACCTCCAATCTTGTATCTTTCCAAGTTTCTAGTGAACATCTCAAATTGGATTTCCTATAGACATCTTAAACCCAACTTATCCAAAATGAAACTTGTTATCTTCTTACTCCACTACCACCCTTTCCCTTCTTCTTAATTTTCTTATTACTGTTGAGGATACCACCATCTCTCCAGTCATCCAGGCTTGCAACCTATTTGTCATCCTGGAGTCCTCACTCTCACCTCTTCATCACTGATACCCATTCTGTTGCCAAAGCTTGTCAATTTTACCTTCATAACAACTCTCATATCTCCCCCCCCCCCACTTTGACACTGCCACCAACCCAGTGCGAGCCCCCATCTCCTCACACCTACATTGTTGAAATAGCTTACTGGTTGGTCTCCTTACCTTAAGTCTATTCCCCACTCCAATCCATCTACTCAAATGTCAGATTGACCTTCCTTTAAAGCACAAGCCTCGTCATGTCACCCTCCACCCCTGCCTCTCTACTCAGTAAATTCCAATGGATCCTATTGTCTCTAGGATGGGGAAGAAAATTCACTATTTGGCCTTTAAAGCCCTTGAGAACCTCTCTCTCTCTCTGTCTCTCTCTCGTTCTCTCTCTGTCTCTGTCTCTGTCTCTCTCTCTCTCTCTCTCTCTCTCTCTCTCACACACACACACACACACACACCCACCAACTTTCCAGGACTTTATTTTCTTTCCGAGTATCCTGGAATCCAGTGTCACTGGGCTTCCTTTATGTTCTTCACATATAACACTTCAAGCATTCTCATTGGCTGAAAATGGAATCTTCCTTCATCTCTAGCTCCAGGCTTCCCTGCCTTCCTTCAAGATTCAGCTGAAGTCTCACCTTCTGCAGGAAGCCTTTCCCAGGGTTCCTTAATCTTAATGCCTTTCTACTAAGATTAATCTCCAATTTGTTCTGTTTATATTTTGTTTGTACATAGTTGTTTGCATGTTTTCTCTTCCATTAGTCTGAGCTCCTTGAGAGCTGGGACTGGTTTTTGCCTTTCTTTGTGTCCACAGCATTTAGCACAGTGCCTGGAATGTAATAGGTGCTTAATAAATGCTTGTTTATTAACTGACTTTGTTCATTAATGTACAATGTCAAAGTCCAGAAATACTTAGAGAGTATTGAATTGAGATTGTAAAATGCTGAGAGTAATGCACGTGCCCCATAAACCTATTCTGTTTCAGTATTGTGACCAAAATGAGTTAATGGTGCTGTAGAGGCTGATAAGCTATTAAGGGCCAATGTATTTTAATATAGATTATAAGGGCCCATTAAGTGATCCTGAGCTATTTAACATTTACAAAAATTCTCTTTGCTTGAATCCCAATATTAATAAAACATAGTACTTACCCTCAAGGAGTAGAGAGGAATGGAGGAGGAGGAGGAGGGAGGTACTAAGGTTATACAAATAAGCATAATACTTGGAAGGGTTATGATTGTGGCAAAAGAGATCCAGACAAAATGTACTAGGAAGATTTGAAGAGAGCAGAATACTCAGCTGCACCTAAGCTAAGCCTAAAGAAAGAAACGAATTCTAAAAGTAAGGGATGAGAAGAGAGTGCTTTTATGTGCCTATTTGCCAAGCACTGTGCTAAATGTTATGGATACAAAAAAAAAAAGCAAAAACCAGTCCCTATTCTTTAGGAATTTACAACATACAAACAACTATGTGCAAACAAGTTAAATGCAGGATAAATTGGAAATAATTCACAGAGGGAAGATTTTAGATTGTAAGAATAGTGGACGGGGTAGGGTTGTAAAAGGCATTGGATTCCTGAGGATTTTACATTTTGTCCTGGAGGTAATAGGGAACCACTAGAGTTGATTAAGTATGGTCAAACTTGTATTTTAGGAAGATCAGTTTTATTGCTGAGTGGAGGACGGACGGGTGTGAGACCCACCAGTAGGCTATTGTAATAATCCTGGTGTGAAGTGATAAGGGCCTGTACTGAGGGGGTGTCCTATCAGATAAGAGGAGACTTAAAAAAGAGATGTTATGAAGTTAGAATCACTAGAATTTGGCCACAGATTTGGATATAGGTGGGGAGATGAGAGAGGGTGAGGATTCTAGGATGACAAGTAGGTTGCAAGCCTGGGTGACGGGGAGGAAGAAGGTTCCCTCAGTAGTAATGGGGAGGTCAGAAAGAGGAAGAGCCTGGCTGTGGGGGAAGAAATAAGTCCCGTTTTGAACAGGATTAAGTTTAAGATGTCTACAGCACATCCAGTTTGATATACCTACTTGGCACTTGGAGATACAGGACTGGAGGTCTGGAGAAAGGTTAGGGCTGGACAAATAGATCTGAGAATGATCAGCATAGAGATGATAATTAAATCAGTGGGAGCTAGTCAGATCATCAAATGAAATAATATAGAGGTAGATAGGGGTTCAGGATAGAGCGTTGTGGGACACCCACAGTTAATGGGAGTGACATGGATGAAGATCCAGCAGAAGAGACCAAGAATTAGTCAGATAGATAGGAGGAAAACCAGGAGAGAATAGTGTCAATAGTGTCCCACAAACCTAGAGAGGAGAGAAGATCTGAGAAGAGGGTGATCTTGGGGTCAAAGCTTACCTAGGTCAAGAAGGGTGAGAAGAAAACTGAGAAAAGCCATTGGATTTGGCAATAAAAAGATCATTAGTAACTTGGAAGAGAATGGTTGCAGTTGATTGATGAGGTTGGAAGACCTATTATATAGAATTACGAGAGTAAGAGGAAAGGAAAATTGTGAATTGCTTTCTCAAGTTCAGCTACCCATAGAAAGCCAGAGAGATTTGGGAAGATAATTATTGGGGAGGATGGGATGACTTATGCAAACATAGTAGTGGAGGTAGTTTTTCTTTGGGGAGAAAAACTCATATGACTGAAACATATAGTACATAAAGAGAAATAATGTGAAATCTTCTCATCTTTAGAGCTCCCTCCCTCCCTGTGACCTAGACATCTTAATTGGTGACTCAGCATGTGTGAACCTAACTAGCCCTCCATATCTATTTGGCCCCAGGTTCCTGACCATAGTTACCCTTTATGTACCATCTTGTCCTTTGCTTCCTCATCTATACATACATTTTAAGTCAGATTACCACTGAATCTGGAAAGGGCATGTCAGTGTACTGCCCAATGGATCAAGTCACTATCCTAGTGTTTTCCCAGAGCAAAGTTCCCTTACCAGGCTACCACTCACCTCTGTGGGTTGTCTTCTATTAGCATGTTATCTCTTTGAGGACAATAACTGTTATCTATTAACTGTGCAATAAATGATTTTTTTATTCACCTATTCTGGGTAGGCCAGAAAAATTGCTTAGAGTCAAGTACTCTGTTTAGTTTTTGAAAGAATGAATGAATGAATGTCCTTACTCTGGAAGGACAAAGCTCTAAAAGCTTGCAAAACAATCCTTGAGCTTTGAGGAGTTTACTTATACTCATATGCTGGTAGTCTAAACATTTTGGGGAACTTGGAAGGGGCAAGAGAGAAACATATATGATTTGGGAGTGGCTTTGTGACCTCGGTCATTCTCATCCAGATAATGCTTCACCTTTCTGAGACTAGGATCCCAGCAATAGAATAGCAGTTCCTGCTACCATCAAACCTATCTAATACTTATGTTTTTGTCACAGGATTTCTCTTGTGGTCGTATTTGATTCCTCCTTTGAGGTTCCATATCAGCTGTGCTTTTGACATGGATGGTAAGTCCAACCAATGTTCTCTTGTTTCACTCTTTTACAAGAAAAACTATCTCCTAGTTTGTAAAATCTGTTGAGTTTCTGTTGCTAATTGCTAGATATTGAAATACCATCTTAGTAATCTTTTCAATAAAGATATAACTTTAATAGTCTGAACATCACCTTTTAAAAACCAGGTGTATATTCTCCATCTAACTGTATAAGTTTGTCTTCTCATAGGTGTATTCGATGTTGGATTAGTGTGACATTTTTATTCTAGTTCTGACTTATATCACTATATTCCTTTTCTTGATTACTTTGAAGAGGATAGATGTGAAGTAATGAAACAAATGTTTAAACAAATTTTTGAACACCTTGTGTTAAATGAATAATGAAGTGATTAATTAGGAAGACTTGGCAACAAAAAATGCTAACAAATTTTTTCTGCAATTAGAATTGATCTTATAGTCTGAATGCTGGCAAAACTGTCACTCAAATCCCCAAATGCACATCAATCAAAAAGCATTTCTTAGGCACCTACTGTGTATTAGGAGCAGCTAGGTGTTACAGTGGCTAGAGTACCAGGCCTGAAGTCAGGAAGACTCATCTTCCTGAGTTCAAATCTGGCCTCCGACACTTACTAGCTGTGTGACCCCAGGAAAGTCTCTTAACTTCATTTCTCCCACTGTAAAATGAGGGTCATAATAGCGCCTACCTCCCAGGGTTGTTACATGGATTAAATGAGGTAATATTTGTAAAGCAGTCAGCGCAGTGCCTGGCACATAACAGGTGCTACATAAGTGCTTAGTCCCTTCCCACATGCAGCTTATATTCTGTCATATTATAAAGAAATTGTATTTTTATTATATTTTATATGTTTAATAAATTCTGGGGTTTTTTTTTCATTGCTATTTAGTTTTCATGGCAGTCTTTTGCAGGGTACTGAATATAGTGATCTCAGTTAAATGCTTTCATCCTCTTAGTTTGTAGCTAAAGTAGTAACAGGGGGATGAGTAATAATAACAGCCAGCCTCAACAGAGCGCGCACTATGTGCTATTCACTATGCTAAGTGCTTTATAAATATAATCTCATTTTGTCCTCACAGCATCCTTGAGTGGCAGGTGCTAAGGGGCAGATAATGTCCCAATGTGGGTAAAATTGTAAAGGTCATCATTTCAAAAAAATTCTCAAGACTGACATTAACATTGTGATTGCTTTGCCAGTCTCTTCTGAAGAACCATTTTCCTCAAATTTGCCCCTTGTTTGCTTCTCTTCTTTTCTAGAAGACGCGTGTGACCTGGCTCTACTTACTGAGCTGCTGGAGGAAAACGAATCCGCTTTAGAATGTAACTCAGGGCAGAGTGGCTTCTTGACAGAGAAAGCCAGAGAACCCGATGAATTTGATGACCTCTTTGATGCCGATAGTGACAGTGCATCTTACAAAGAAGAGATTGATGAGCTTGTGGAGGAGGAATATGAAGACCAAAAAGAAAATGTGGCCACTCTCTTTGGAGATGTCAATGACCTGACAGATGAGGAGAATGAAGAAGCCCAGGATGCAGCCCAATCACTACAATTAAGTCCTGTCCCTCCCCCAGCTCCCAGTCAAGAGAAAATTCAACAGGAGTTGCAAGGTGCTCAGAACTAATTCTTAGCATTTACTGTTATGCAACAAATTAATTATTAAGTTAAAGACAAATTTAAATGAAGGCCATTAAGTTTGGCATTTTTCATCAAACTCTAACCTCTTACATAGTTGTGGTTGAGTTTAAAAAGCAATCATTTGGACTAAAACAATAATAACAGTATTAATAATAATAATAATTAACAACAGTATTAATAATAATAACAGTACACAGAGACATACTAATACTCATTGTCAGCAAAAATGTCCTAGAATGAATTGAATGTTCATAGCACTTTTCATTCTTTAGCATTTATTTTTCCCCCAATACCCACCACTCTTCTCAATTTCCCTATTTCTGTCGAAGGCATCACCATTTCTCTTGTCACACAGATCCACAATCTTGGAGCCATGCTCAGCTTTTCATATCACCTCACCCCCTGTATGCAATAAATTGCTAAGTTTTGTTGATTCTATCTACAATATCTTTCTCATCTTCTGCTTGTCTACCCTCTTTTCTACTCCAACAGCTACCACCCTAGTTTAGGCCCTCAGCCACTTCTCCATTGGATTTAGTAAAATAATTGTAATCAGTTTCCTGCTTCTAGTCATTCCCCTCTCCAATCCATCTTCCATATAGCTGCCAAAGTGACTCTCCTAAAGTACAGCTCATGTTTCTGTCCTCCTCAGTACACTTCACTGGCTCCCTTTTGCCTTGTTAGAGTCAAAGAGCTCATCTGTTTAGATTTCAAAATTCTGTACAGCCTGGTTCCATCCTATACTTCCAATCTTATAAAACATTATTCTTCTTACTAAACTCTACAGTTCAGCCAAATCATCCTCTTTACTGGCACTCATGCATGCCACTTGATCTCCTTGCACTCATTTTTAACATAGGCTGCCCCTCCATATCTGGAATGCACCTGTCCTCAGCCCTATCCCTTAGAACCTGTTATTTCCTTCAAAATTCAACTCAAGCAGCATCCACATGAAGCTTCTTCTGTTCATCCCAGCTGCTTGTTCTCAGCACCCTCTCCTCCAGAAAACAGACCTTGTACTTGTTTTGTACAGGCTTAGGTCATCTCCTCTGGGATAACATGAGTCTTGATGTCAGGGACTGTTGCATTTTTTCCTTTGGTCACCTAGTGATTGGCAGTTAGTAGAGTGGGGTACTTAATAAATGCTTGCTGTTTGAATCATAATTTAATATAGTGTGAGAAACATCGGGGCTCACCAGTAGAGCAGCGGCTCTAAGTCCATATCAGCTTTTGTGTAAGGATCAGTTTTGAGAAAGAACACTGAAGAGTATGTCCATCCAATTTTGGAAATTTCTTTGATCATACATTTGTGCTTATATCATCATCTTGGTTTGCTGTTTCTATACTACAGGAGTTGGCATTTACTATATTATATATAAGGCATCAAGTTTTTGAAATGAATATTTCATCAGTATTTAAATTCTTTGATACTTGCAAAAGATGCTAATAGTGCTGTTAACTACAGATACTTATCTGTAATTGTTTTTTAGCACAAATTCCCATCTGTGTCTAGCCCCAGGTATGAGGTTTTTGATTTTTTTTTTTCCAAAAAAGAAAAATCTGGCCCACTACAGCAGAGCTGTTAAACACAGGGCCACTGTGGAACCAGATTAAAATTTAATTGGGGAATATTTAACAAAACAAATAAAAATGCAATAGAATATATGTAGTTTTTTTAATGTAAATATTTTATTTGCAATTACATGTAAAGATAATTTTGAACATTCATTTTTTTATTAAGATTTTGAGTTACAAATTTTTCTTCCTCCCTCCTAACCCGCTCCTCAAGATGTCAAGCAATCTGATATAGGTTATGAAAATAGGTAATGTTAATATATGGTTTTTTAAGTCAGTACATGTGGCCTGCAGGGATCCTTTTATGTGGTTTAGTGACCTCCAGTTTCTATCTGAGTTTGACACCACTCCCCTACAGGGCTTTGAATGGCCAGTATTCACTGTGATTTCTAGGCATCTAATTCTATGTTGAAATTCTTAGAATTTAGTAGAATTATTCAGTGAAATTTTTCTACTAGTATATCTTCATGTTTTATCTTGTCTTCCAGCCTGATTCTGAAACAAGTGTATTTTCTGTCCTAGATGAATTAAAGAAATTACAAGAGCAGATGAAGACATTACAGGAACGGCTAAAAATGACTACAATTGGGAAGTCTACAAGCCCAGAGCCTTCACAAAAATCCTCTGGTAATAAGACTGATGCTTTCTTAGGTCTGTGAATATCCGTATCCGTAGACACATGGCAGAACAGACTTTGATGACTTTTCTAATGCTTTATTATTTCCCTCTATTTTTCATCAACTAGGTAAGCTTTCACTCCTCCCCCTTAAGGAGAGGAAAGTTCAGAAGATTCAGGAGTCATCTTTTTTTTCTGCCCAGCTTGACATCCCTACTGTACCAAAACCCAAGCAAGTAGCCCAGAAGTCAAAGGTTTTACCTGCAGGTATCGTGCTCCAGGCCACATGGATTTCTTTTCCCCTGACCTCTGATTGCTTTATTCTTTCTAACACAAACTTTGGTACTTATCTATATCCTTTCTTTATCATTCTCCCCTTATTTTATGTAAATAGGCTTCCTGGTTCTTCAAGTGATACAGTAGGGTCTCTGAATAGAGGGACCATGGGTTATGTTAATTTTCATCTTCCACAGCTTTAGGCAGGAATGAGGTGTTAAGTTAAATAATGGTCTAGAAGCCAACTCTTCTGAATAAGCTGTGTATTAGGTTTGGGGTTTAGTACATTTGTGAATATTTTAATGAAATTTATAAAACTAAAGCACAAATTATTACAGTAGTCAAGAGTTTTGAATGAAGTAAGATAGTCCAAGTTGATCTTGTAGCAGCTTCAGGTGGAAAGAGCAGTAGACCCAAGGTTCAAGTTCTGACTTCTTTATTTGCCAGCTGACTCACCTTGACACTTCTCTGAGCCTCAGTAAGATTGACTGGAGAGAGTGCTGGGCTTAGTGATATCACCTGGGTTCGAATCTTGCCTACCATACTTACTAGCAGTATGACCATGGGCAAGTTACTTAGCATTTCTAAGATTTAGTTTCCTTACCTGTAAAATAAAGGATCATGACATTTGTGCTGCCTACCTCAGAATTATTGAGAAGGTGGCACACTTTAAACCTTAAAGCCCTAGATAAATGTGAATTATTGCTGCTATAAAATTGCTCTTTACAGAAGAACATTCATTGGCATACTGATCAAAACCCATTAAGGAATACAGAATCAGCTGAAATTTCTACTTAATTCAAGCAACATTTAATACAACTAAGTCCCATAACTACGTAATTTGGCCAGCCCTTTTAATAGAATTTGACTTGTGGATTCTAACGAATCTCCAATTAGTTATTTCTAAAGAAGAATTGTATCTCCTCCATGGTACTTTATCCAATGCTTTGTCCTCGATAGCATCTTAGTAAATGTAATCTCAATAAGATTCTAGAGATGAGAGTGGGAATGACCTTGTAGATCTCTTCTGTTTTGAGACTTGTTGATTAATTAATTGGACACAATTTGATCTTTTCTATTTTGAATAGAATTTATCGGTGTGATTTTAAAAATCATATTTTTTATTGTTAAATTCTTTAGAGCACAAGAGTCCTCTTTCAGGATCATTACCAAATTCATATTCCCAGCCCCTCAGATCTACTCCTGGAAACAAGCCTAGTGGAAGGACTGGAACCTCGAATTTAGGGACATCTGGAACTTCACATGGAACTGCTCAGACTGTTTCAGTGGAAAAATTTACTGGACTCCGGTTAAGGTTAGTAATTCTGTAATGGTCCCTCTTATTCTCAGTTCATATTGATACCACTAGATGTCTCCTCCTGCTTTATAGGACATGCTGGCTCTTAGTTCAAAATAGTGTATTTTTTAAAACAGATTTTCACAGAAACTTTTAAGGTGATCAAAGTTGAAAATAAATATAATTGTAGCTCTAGGTTTAACTTAATTCTATCTAGAATTATAGCAAAAAGAGAATGTTTCTTAACTAAGTTATAGTCAAAAGATTGTCCACAAAGCTACCTAAATGATTTTCCTTCAGCACAAATTTAACCATATCACTCCTCTACTCATTGAACTCCAGTGGCTCTGTATTACCTCTAGGATAAGATAAAAATGCTTTTGTTTGGCTTTTAAAGCCATTCACAGATTAGTTCATAACTTTGTGTTATGGACACTTTTTCAGAATAATGCTATTTATTGTTTTTTTAATTAATAATTGAAGGAAATGCTGAATTCCAGTTAAAGATTAGTGGAAATAAAGGAGTAAATTTCTTCCCCATCCAAGTTCATGGACCTTCTGAAATCTATCCATGGACCCCAGGATAAGAACCCCTGAATTAAACATTTTTTATTCCCCTTCCTTCACTCTCCAGTCTAGCCAAACTGGCCTCCTGACTGTCCTTTCAATACACGCCATCCCATCCATGTGCCTTTTCACTAGCCATTTATTCTCCATGTCTGGGACATTCTCCTTTACATCCCTCGAGTCTACACACAGCCTTTCCTGATTGCTCCAGCTGCTAATGTCCTTCCTACTTAAACTACCTTGTATTCTGTATATATTTATACATTCATATGTTTTCCCCCGGGAGAGCATAAGCTCCTTGACAGCAGGGACTATTTGTTTTTGTCTTTTTTTCCTCAGTGCTTAGACTAGTAGGTGCTTAATGAATGCTTATCAATTGATTCTTAGGTAACAGTGGTAGAGATTATAGCTATATGTATAAAATGGTCCAAGTAAGCAAATATGAAATTTATAACACTATCTATCTTATTATAATTGCTATGGTTTTGTTTTTTAGAGTTTAATACATGTGTTTCATAGATATAACTATTGAATTCTCATGTTGCTTTGAGATCATTAGTATTATTTCTCCATTCTATGAGGAGAAACCCAACCCCTTCAGTGTTTCATTATTTCTTCTACTGAAGGCCCAAGCAACTGGATGATTCACACTCTTGAGATTAAAGTATTTTCAGTTCTGTAGAAACAACCTATCTCCATCTCCAAAATATCTAGCTCTTTCTTCTCTGAATGCCAACCAATCTTTGGGAATGTTAGCCAGCATCTGAGTTTACTGAGCACAGCAGGGAAAGAAAATAATTCCAAATATGGATCACTGGGGTTTGAATATTAAACTAACTGTAGTATCTAAATGGTTGCTGATTCAGGAGACTGAAATTATTTAGTTGTGTAATATGGACAGGCCTTATTGAAGTGTTAAGTCATAAAAATGAAGAAAAGAAAATAATCTGCCCAAGAAAAGAAGATACTCTGCCCACTGACAGATTTGTTTTGCCTTTAACTCACTTCAAACTTAGCTTTGGGTCCATTTTATTCAAAGCACCCTGGATTTTATGCAGAGGGAAGTGACGAGGATTATGAGGAATCTGAAGACCCTGTAAGGAGCATCTGAAGGAATGGGGATGTTTGGACTGAAGAGTAAAAAACTTAAAGAAGCCATGAGAGCTGTGTTGTCTTCAAGTATTTGTCAGGCTGTCATGTTTCTTTTGTCCTTCTTACCTCCTCCCCTTCACTGAAGATGTTCATGTAGGGATTAGATGGTGTGGCTGTTGGGGGTGCTATAGGGAGCATCTGTTTTTGTGCATATGTTGGAGTAGATAACATCTGAGGTTCCTCCCAGTTTTGTGATCCTCCGAAAGAAAGTATTGGATTATCATTCAATCAACAAATGTTTATTTAGTATGTATTTAATGTGAAGGCACCATGTTACACCCTAGAGCTATAAAGATGGGGATATAAAGAGAAAAAATGAAACAGTCTCAACTCTGAAGGACATATTATGGCCAAAGATGGGATGGAAACTGATTTTTCTATAACAATTTCCCAGCTTGCTAATTTAAGTACCATTGATAGTTCTTTTGAAGGATATGTATATCTTATTTTTACGTACTAGTAGGAAAAAAAACTGAACAAAGGCTTCCTGTCATGAAAAATAAGACTCATGATATTCACTGACACTGTTGAAATTTAAATATAGTGTTCAATGACAGGCACTGATAACTGTAACAAAAGCAGATGTTGTTTCAAACTAATAAGTGATTAGGATTGATGTATGATTTAACAATCACAATTGTATTTCCTTGCTTCCTACAATAGCCTCAGTTCTATAACCATTCACATTAAAAAAAAAACTTTTGTTTTTGCTTTAATTGATTATCTTTTTTTATTACCTTTATTTCCAAATATATCCCTTCCTCCCCCCGTCTCCAGTGAGCTACCTCTTATACACAAACAATTTTTTAAAAATATAAAGAAAGGAATGATGGAGGGAGGGGAAAGAAGGAAGAGGGAGGGAGCAGTTCAGCAAAACTAACCAGCAAACCCAATTACCCTACTTTACCATGTAATTCTTAGCAGTTACTAACATCTGGCTCCTCCACTCTAGATTTTGAGCCTCTTCCTCCAAAGTATGAACAATGTTAATTTTTTCCTCCCTGGCATCACTCTAATGCCAAGGTTCTTAAACCTGGGATCCATGGACCTTCTTTTTTCCTACTGTTTTGATAACTCCAATATATTTGATCTTCTTTGTAACCTTATGTATTTTATACATTTAAAAACATTGTTGTGAGGCCACCAAAGGGGTCCATGACACAAAAAATGTTAAGAGTCCGTACTCCAGCGTATATACCTCAAGGATATGTGGTTTCATTCGTGTCATTACTACTTCTTTGTCAACTGATCCAACCCGCATATGCCTTGGTGGATGGCCTTTATGAGTTGCTGTGACTAGGAAAAAGCATCCTCCCGCTGCTAAGCTTTTCAGAAATGAGATAGACCTTTGATGACCTACTACTCATTGCCTGGCTTGTTTTGAAGCCTTCCCAGCTCAGTTGGACCTGCCTAAGTTTGTGCTTTGCAGGCGTAAATTTAGGAACACTACACTACTTCTGTACCAGCATTTGAGGAGTATTTTTGCAAAAGACCATTTGGGATGGTGCCACATATTTGATTTATACTCAATAAGGGCTAAATGAATCAGATTATTTGTTATCATTTGCAACACAGGCGGCCTCGAGTGTCCTCCACAGAAATGGACAGAAAGATGACTGGCCGGAAACTGATCAGACTGTCTCAGCTCAAGAGCAAGTTGGCGAGTGAGAAATTGGAAGAAATAGACTGGGTGACATTTGGGGTCATAATGAAGAAAGTCACGCCTCAGAGTTCAAACAATGTAAGTCATTTTCTGTTAGCTTGTTAGTGCCATCCCCAGGCACTGATACTGAGAGCTTGACTCAGAGTCAAGCTGAGATCCTGAGAGCTGGTGGCCTTCGCTGCAATTTTAGGTAGGTATGAGTAAATCTTGAGCAGTGTCACACACTGACTAGGCAATGTCTCTGAAGAAGTACAAGAATAGATGCCTGCAGATCCAACCTACAGGATTCTGTGATAACTAATAAGCATTTAATTCCCTTGGATCAATTGAGATAATATTTGTAAAGCACTTAGGATGGTTCCTGGAAATAAATGCTTATTCCCTTCCTTTTTCCGAGGTTATTTTATAGGGTCATAGATTTAGAGCAAAGAGAGACTGGGTCCATTTTACTGAGAAGAAAACCAAGGCTCAAACAGGATAAACAGACAGCCTAATTGCACACAGGTCATCCAGACTCACTTCTTTACTTATCCTTGGTATTTTATAGCACAGTCAGTTCCTTAACTATGTGGATGGAAAAGGCCAGTGATGCCATTAACAGTAATGTTAACACTGTGAAGTTCTTAATAGCTTTGGAAAAATGAAATCCTTTTAAAAAGTAATTAAAAATTATTCTGCCTTAAAAATACACCACTACATAGGAAAAATATATTGTATTCAGGAAGATATCATGAACTTTATCAATCTCAATTAATGATGTGATGTAGAGAAAGATGTTGCAATAGAGAAATCACTGATCTCAGCAATGGAGACTTGAGCTCTGGTCCTAACTTTGCTGCAAACTGTGGCCATGAGCAGAAGTCTTGCTTCTCTTTGGACTTCTGTTCCCCTCCTTAGCTACAAAAGGAAGGGACTCAGCCAGGTAATCTCTTAGGCCTTTTCCAGTTCTACTATTAGGCAATTTTAATGTTTGTTCTTTTCATCAACTGTGATTTTTATTCATTTTATTTCCATGTAATATTTAGTCTTATCTGAGCTATATGTTTATATATGAAAGCATTGGTTTTAAGGCAAAAGAATGCTACCCTCACCTTGACTCTCTTGGCTCCTCTGTGCTTTATTTTTTCTACCTGTAAAGCCAGGCTTTAACAGGGACAGGTTGTGAGGGCTATGGAAATAGATGTGAAGTATGCTGTGAGCCCTTCTGAGGCAATTGTACAAATCCACAGAATAATAAACAGCAACATTATAAGGGTCACAGTTCATTGTGACTAGGTCGCTATCACCAAGTTTATTCTGGGGCTGTGGCCATCAGCAATGGTCTTATTCCTAAGAATAATCTGATTTACAATTCAGGTTCTTTGAGAAGAAATAGCCTATGAAAGTACCTCAGGAGCAAAGTAAATACTGAACATGATCTTTGAAACATTTTAAATTATGGCTTTTTGGGTGCTTAACAAATACTTTGACATTTTAAAGCCAGACTAAGCTAGTTTTCATTTAATTGCTTTCCAAACCCAGAAGAATGATGCTTTTACTCTTTGATAGTATTGCAATGACCCCTTCATTTATTTAATGGATATTACTAATCTGTGATAAATGTAATATTTATTGTATAAACCAATCTAATAACATCTTTCTGTTTTAAGGTAAGTAATAAAATGATTCTGCAGACTGCTTTTCTTTTTAGTAGTACTTATATCTCGCTGGAGACACAGTGCTAACCTAATAATGAAAATACAAACCTGGAATTAGAAACCTGGGGTTCTTTGCCACTAGCTTGCTGGGTATAACTAATCAAATTCCTACATCATTTTCTGTACTTTTAAAATAGGAAAAGTAATATCAAACCCTTGGGCAATAAATTCTAGTCATTGTATTGACAGTGTATTTCGCATACAATAAGATTTGTTTCCTGATTTTGAAAATTTCAGTTGACAGATGAGTTCAGCACGGTCTAGTCATGTCATGCAGATCATGTATAAGTTTGTGGCTTGAAAATTAAAGAACAGAAGATGGCAGAGTAGAAGGAAGCAATGCAGCATGCCTCCCATCCTCCACCCCTATACTCCCCCAAGCAGACCTAGAAAATGTACCAGACCAAATCCTGATGTGAAAAATCCAAGAAAAAGTCACAGTTCAGCACAGGGAGGTGGAATGATAGGCTTTTGGACTCTGGGAATCAGGTTTGGCCAGGAGGGGCTACACAAAGCATTCCTGGAAAGGGACTATACATCAGGATAGAAAGAGTTCCCAGATCCATACAAGGGCACCCCTAAACCCATTCCAGAGCACTGTGATAGGGAAAGGTGCCAACTGACAGCTTTAGATCCAGGATGGACTGAAAAGAGGTAAAGAGAGGTATAGCCCTAGGATATGTACCAAGAAAAGAGGAAGTTCAGAGGTAAGCAGCTGTGGCATGAGTCAGATCCAAGGAGCAGAGTAAGGTCTGCATTGCAGCTTCTAGACCAGCTTGCAGAGGAATAACCAGGGCAGGAATCCCAGATCACAAGGGAACCTGTAGCTCTATCACTGAACCAGCAGAGCTTCCCTGTGGGCTAATAATTATGGAGTCCAGTAGCATTTTACTTTTGTTCATACTCAAACTCAGGTGAACTTGCAGAGCTATGGTAGGGAGAGGGACAGCATAATGATGAGACTTTGTCCTAGACTGGACTACTTTGGAAATCCTGAAAGTTTTCCCCTCATTTGAGCTGTCATTGAGGTCTTGAAATAACACAATACTCAATACATCCAAGGAAGTGACAATAGAACCAGACCTTCCTTCCAGAAGTGTGCAGAGCCCCACCCTAACATTTAGGCTTAGGCTGGAAGAATGAGCAAACAAGAAAAGAATCTCATCCTAGAAAGCTATTGTAGCGACAAGGAAGCTCGAGACACAAATGCAGAAGAAGAAAATTATTCCAAAACATCTATCAGCAAAGCTTCAAAACAAAGTACAGCTTGGGCACAAACTCAGTTAGAAGTCCTAGAAGAGAAAAAGAGTTAAAAAGGAGAGTTAAGGATTGATTTCTATAAATTAAATAAGAGAACACTTAAGGAAAAAATTGGAAAAGATGTAAGAACTATAGAAGGAAAACTGGAAAGAGAATTAGAAGTGGTGCAAGAGGTACAACACCTTGAAAATCAGAATTAGGATGGACCAGTGGAAACCAATAACTCCATGACACATCAAGAAACAATAAAACAAAGTCGAAATGTTGGGAGTGGAGTTGGAGGGAGACAAAAATAAAAGGCATTTTGTAGCAAAAACAACTGACCTAGAAAAAAGTTCAAGGACAAAATCATCAGACTACCTGAACACTGACCAAACCAAGAGTCTAGGCATCATATTTTAAGAAATCTTAAAAGAAAACTACCCAGCTATCCTAAAACCAGGAAGCAAAGTAGAAATAGAAAGAATCCACCAGTCACTTCCTGAAAGAAACTTCAAAATGGAAATTCCCGAGAACATTATAGCTAAATTCCAGAGCTTCTGGATCAAAGAAAAAATACTGCAAGCGACCAGAAAGTATTCAAGTACTGAGAAGCCATAGATAGGATCACACACAATTTAAGAGACACTACTCTAAAGGAGCAGTGAGCTTAGAATATGATATTCCAGAAGGCAAAAGATATGGGCTTACAGCCAAGACTAACTTAAGCTAAGAAAACCAAATAGAATGCTACAGGCGGGGAAATAGACCTTTAATGAAAGAGAGGACTTCTGAGCATTCCTGATGAAAAGATCCGAGTTCTGTAGAAACTTTGAAGTTTAAATACAGAATCTAGGAGAAATAGAAGAAGTAAACACAAGCAATTGCAAAGGTCTAGCCAAAGATAAACTGCTTACATTCTAATATAGAGAAGTGATAAATTTGTCCCCTCCGAAACTTATCTTCATCAAGAGTCTTAGAGGGTGTCTAGTTAGACAAGATCTGGGAGTCCTTTGTCCTGATGATCTTAAAAGAAGAATGGAAAGAAAGGGGAAGTGAGATCCAGTAAAGAAAAGGAAGGTTAGGGAAAATTATCTCTCATAATCAGAATGTGCAAGCAGACATCTTTACAGACAAGTTGGGACACTTGTCTGTACTTTCACCTGAATTGGTCAGAGATGGAAAGAGTATACACATAACATAAACACAGGAACTCTTATCAACATAATGATCAACCACAATTCCAGAGGATTAATAATGAAACTTGCTAGTCAACCCTGATAGAGAGGTGAAGGGCTTAGTGCAGAATAAGACATATGCATATACATATATATGTATGTATGTATGTAAAAAAATGTTCTTAACGGGGCAGAAGGAGCAGGATAGGATGGAGAGAAATATAGTTAGTCCTTTCCCAATATGACTAGTATGGAAGTGTTTTGCGTGACTGCACATGTAGGTTATCTACACTGAATTTCTTGCTTCTCCATGAGAGTGGGAGGGGAGGGAGGAAGGGAGAGAATTTGGAACTCAGAGTTTTTAAAATGAATGTTAATTGTTTTTACATGTAACTGGGAAATAAAATACACAGGCAATGGGCTATAGAAATTTACTTAACCTACGGGAAAATAGAATGGGAAGGGGATAAGAGAAGAGTGGGAGGTGATAGGACAGAGGGCAGATTGGGGGAAGGAGTAATCAGAATGCACACCATCTTAGGGTGAGGGGAGAGGAGAGATTGGGAGAAAATTTGGAACTCAAAATCTTGTGAAAGTGAATGTTGAAAACTAAAAATAAATAAATTTTAAAAATGTTCTAGGAGATGACCAACATGGAAATTTGTTTTGCTTGCCTATACAATAACATGTTTGTAAAATGGGTTTTATTTTTCTTTTCATTCACAATGGAGACAGTAGAGGGAGTGAAGGCAGTTTTTTGCTGGATAAAAAAAAAATGAAATAAAATTTTCTAGATAAAGAGAATTAAAGAACAACAATTTTTTTTTCCAGGGAAAAACCTTTAGTATCTGGAAACTGAATGATCTGCGTGACCTAAACCAAAATGTCTCATTGTTTTTGTTTGGAGAAGTCCACAAAGAACACTGGAAGACTGAGCAAGGCACTGTCATAGGACTGCTTAATGCCAATCCCATGAAGCCAAAGGAAGGTTCAGATGAAGTAAGGATTTCTATGGTTTCTTTGTCTAAAGATATATTCAAGTTAGCCAAATTTTGTCAATAGCATTTGCTTTGGATTAGCACTAAATAGTATAATAACTTCTCCTTTATTTAGCTCTTCAAATCAGTCCAAGAGTCATTGAATTTATTCATTGACACAGTGTTCCTTTTGTTTATACTTAGTGATTCTTTACCTGTATGGTGGCATTTGATTTTGTAGGCCCTTAACATTACAATTTTGGAGGAGCATTTAAAAAGCTCAGGGTTGACTTTAGATGTTTTTGTGCTTTTTCAAAGCACCAAATTAATATAAAAATTGTTACCACCTTCTGTATGGACTGTATATGCATTTTTCAGCATTCTCAACAACTTTTGAGAATTCATTTTCTTCATTAAAGCTCAATTAGATAGTGCACAGCTTATTGTAGAATTTTGATAATATTAAAAATATTTAACTTGATTCACCCATATGTTGAAGGTTGTGAACATTTTAACTCTCAGATTACATGGGACCTAAGTACTATAAATGTAGAAGCTACTAAAACAATCTAGATAGACCTTTCTTTACAACATGTTAGAATTGATCTTATACAGAACAGAATTGAACTTCTAACCCAAAGGGGGAGACTTCTCCCACATACACATTCCATTTAGTATCAGTAATTAACTTAAATTATCAAATGGAGGTTTGGTATCTCAAAGCTGTGAATATGGTTGGGGTCATAATCCTATAAGCCCAAAGTCTAGGCACAATATGAATAGTAAATGCACCAGCTGCTTCACCCTGACCCAGTGCTGTACAAAACATAACTATTGAGAATGAAAACAGGTTCATTCTTCATTGTTTTGCTCCTTTACTTTTGAAAGTTAATAATTGGCAATCATTAACCATTTTTTACTACTCCCTATATATCATTTCACTGTGTAGTCATGATGTAGCCTCAATATGATAAGATTCATTTACTAAATTAGGAAACCATTTTATATCCTATGAACCCCTGACTGTAAACTGTTTGCAAATTTGAGAAGCTTCTTAAAACAGTTATTCTTTCTTTCCCCAGTCTTGCTGACTAAAACGTTTGACTTTTGTAGTACCTGTTTTTACTTCCTAATTGGGCTTCTCATCTCTACAGGTATGTTTGTCTATTGATCATGCCCAGAAGATCTTAATTATGGGTGAAGCTCTTGACCTGGGAACCTGCAAAGCAAAGAAAAAGAATGGAGAGTCATGTACACAGATTGTCAATCTGGTTAGTTTATTGTTTAACAGTGTTAAGATGGGTTGCTAATAGGGGGAAGCTGCCTCAGAGATAATGGTTTGTATCTGTTTTAGAATTGTCTTTCTTATAAACAGGAAGGGTCCAAATGAGAGAACTGAGTTTTGTCTGTCTGGTTTTTAGGTGCTGTTGTAAAAAGTGATGATTTTACCTCATTACAGAATTTTTTTTATTGCCAGATATTTAAGGAATATCCTTATACATAAAATTCACTAGATTCAACCATCCAATAGTAACAGGGAACAGGAATAGCAGGAAAGTTGCTAATAGCTTGAAAAGCCAAATTTTAGGCAGTAGTTTTAGTCTGGCCCTTCCCATTGGATAGTCCTAGAGCGTAAGGAACTTAAATTACTGGTTTCAGGTTTTTCTACCCTCTTTATTTATTTTTTTTCCTTTTTTTTTAAAGTTGTTTCTTTTTTTAATTTAAATTTTTATTTTTTCCATATGCTTTTGAGTTGAAAATTTTTCTCCCTTTTCCTCCCCCCCACCCTCCTCAAGACGGCACACAATCTGATATAGGCTTTACATTTACATACCCATTAAACATATTTTCACATTAGTGAAAATTAAAACCAATACGAGGAACCATCAGAAAGAGGAAACAAAACTCAACAGAAGGTAAAAATAAGTGATAGCGCTTCGACTTCCATAGTTCTTTCTTTGAATGTGAACAGCATTTTCCATCCCGAGGCCTCTGGAATGTCTTAGATCCTCATAATGCTGAGAAGGTTCAGTTTAACATCTTAGTCATTGCATAACGTGGCTGTTATGTGTACAAAGTCCTCTTGGTTCTGCTCACTTCACTCAGCATCAGACCATATAAGTCTTCCCAGGTTTTTCTGAAGTCAGCCTGTTCATCATTTCTTACAGAACAATAGTATTCCATTACATTCATATACCACAACTTGCTCAGCCATTCCCCAATTGATGGGCATCCTCTCAATTTCCAATTCTTTGCCACCACAAAAAGAGCTGCTATGAATATTTTTGTACATGTGGGTCCTTTTCCCATTTGTTTGATCTCTTTGGGATATAGCCCTAGAAGTGCTATTGCTGGATCAAAGGGTATGCACATTTTTGTAGCCCTTTGGGCATAGTTCCAAATTGTTCTCCAAAATGGTTGGATCATTTCACAACTCCACCAACAATGTATTAGCGTTCCAATTTTCCCACATCCTCTCCAACATTTATCATTTTCCTGTTTTGTCATGTTGGCCAATCTGATAGGTGTGATATGGTACCTCAGAGTTGTTTTGATTTGCATTTCTCTAATCAATAACGATTTAGAGCATTTTTTCATATGACTATAGATGGCTTTAATTTCTTCATCTGAGAACTGTCTGTTCATATCCTTTGACCATTTATCAATTGGGGAATGGCTTGTGTTCTTATAAATTTGTCTTAATTCTCTATATATTTTAGAAATGAGGCCTTTATCAGAAAGACTGGTTGTAAAAATTCTTTCCCAATTTTCTACCTTCCTTCTAATCTTAGTTGCATTGGCTTTGTTTGTGCAAAAACTTTTCAATTTAATGTAATCAAAATGATCCATTTTGCTTTTCATAATGTTCTCTATCTCCTGTTTGGTCATGAATTCTTCTGTTCTCCATAGATCTGATAGGTAAACTATTCCTTGTTCTCCCAGTTTACTTATGGTATCAGCCTTTATATCTAAGTCCTGAATCCATTTTGACTTTATTTTGGTATATGGTGTGAGATTTGGGTCTACCTCTTTATTTTCTTAACCCATTCTTTGATTGATGTATAGCAAGATGGCTAAAAGGTAGATAGTTGGATGAAGGACATCAAGAACCTGATATATTTCCCCAAAAATTTTAGTTCTAAAATTCACTAGACTGTGCAGGGGTGGGGAACCTGCAGCATCTAGGCCATACGTGGCCCTCTAGGTCCTCAAGTGCAGCCCTTTGACTGAGTCCAAGTGGCCTAGATGCTGCAGATTCCCTACCCCTGTGCGATTGTGACTTCAGTATTCATCCAAGAGGATAATACTTTCTTCCTCTTTGGTTCTCATACCAGTGGATACTTTTATCTAAAAGCTGGCATGAATGACCATTAGAAAAACTTAACTGACCAATGATTTCTCTAGATTGTGTGGGAAACTTTTCTTTCTTTCTGTGAACTACTTTGAAAGGAATGTAGAGGACACTTGTCATTGAGCTGATGGTGTATGGAGCCAGAATTGTCTTTGGAATTGTGGTGTGTGGATTGATTGAAATAACTGAAGAACAAAGGTTCAAGCTTCTGAGGGTATAGATTTATTAAGGAATGTGTACCAATTGTGTAACAAATCGGGACCAGGCCTTCCTCAGCTTAGAACTGGAGCCCAAATACAGGAGGACACAGATTTTTATTTATTAAATACAACCAAATAGGGCCAATTAATTAAAATAAAACAATTAACAGAGTACAAGTCAGCATACAAAATAGGTAATTTGACTTGTAATTAGAGGAAAGGTTAGGGGCTTCTAAGTTCAGAAGGGGAGAGTGAACAGGTGCAATTTCCTACAATCAGAAAAAGAGGTATCTTACTCCCTGCCAAGTTTCTGTATTCATCACAGTAACAAAGAAACAGTTAACTGATTGACCAACATGAGGCCAGTTTTCAGATAAAACACATGGATTGCTTGAGATGTGTGCTTGTGAGAAAACTCCTTTCATCATTCTTCAGATCTATCTGGGTTTCTGCTGACTTCCGTCCAGCTTTGTCTCTGGTTAGCTGCATAACCTAGGTAGATGGTCCAGCTTCCTAACCATGCAGGGCTAGGTTCAAACAATGCAATAAAGTTTTCTCACAAGACAAATTGGACTAGACCCAGAATTGAATAGAACTGAGCTAGTTCCAGAATTGAGTCACAGGATGGAGTCCATGTGGTTCACTCAGTTCCTCAGAATAACGAAGTGTCTATGTCCTTGGACAGCAATGAGAGACTTTGGAGAAAGCACCAGACATGAAGCCAGGGCCTGGATTCTAGCCCTGACCCTACCACTTATTAGCTACATAAGAGGACCTCTGGCCAGTCATTTGACCTCTGAGCCTCTGCTGCTTCTCCTGTTATAAGGATCGTAAGCCCTGCCTACAGCATAGTAGTGTTCTGAAAATAGGGGTAAGGATTAGACCTGTTGTTTCACTGGTATAGGTAATTCTCAAGTGGAGGAAATCCCTCTCCCAATGAAGGTCAGCACCCTTTAGTGGTGCTAAGAGGTTAAGTGATTTGCCCAGGATCACACGACCCACATATGTCAGAGAGGAATCTTGAACCCAGGCTTTCCTGGCTTCTCTGTATTACCCCAGAGTGCTTCTCTGTTCTGAACAGTGAAAGGAGACAGTGTTGGTGAAAGTGCTTTGTGAACTATAAAACCATATATGAAATTAAAGTGGTATTATTATTTATTTGTTATCTCACTGCCCTGTAGACTACGGGAGTGCAGGCCCTTATATATATTTATTTCTTCTTGCAGAATGACTGTGAGTACTGTCAATATCATATACAGTCTCAGTATAAGAAACTCAGTGCCAAGCGAGCAGATTTGCAGTCTTCCTTCTCTGGAGGCAAAGTGCCAAAGAAATTTGCCCGCAAAGGCTCCAGCCTGAAAGAAAGACTGTGTCGGGATGGCTTTTACTATGGAGGAGTCTCTTCTGAGTCATATGCAGCCTCAGTGTAAGATGCCCCAGGTTCTCTGTTGTTATTGTGTTAGATTGCCCTTGATAATGAGTGTATACTTTGTTTTGTAATAAGAATATGATATTGCGTGTTTTGGTTCTACTTGGGACCATTTTGTTGAGTTCTCAGGTAGAGGAGAAAAATCATCAAGCCTACAACTTGGCAGGACCTTGGAGCCCATCTAATTCAAACCTGTACCTGGCCTATCTGCTTTACAGCACTCCCAGTCTAGTACTTTACTGGAGGACCTCAGATACAACGTACCCAGTACCGTGCTACGCACTGGGGATATGAAGAGAAAAATAAAGCAGCCCTGACTATCAGGGATTTTACACATTGGTGGTGGGATGCAACTTGTATATAGATAAATAAGCATAATGTGTATACACACAGTGATTTCAGGAGAGAGACTGAGTACTAATGATTGGGCCTGTCAGGGCAGGCCTCATGTAGGCAGTGGTGCCTGGGCTTTGGGAAGCTACAAGGTAGATGGGTGAAGGGGAGCAGAGCAACTTGGACCCTTTGTGCATAGCTGTAGAAGGAGATAGAAGATAAATTGTCCTGCAGAGGGAACAGCCAGCAGACCAGTATTGCTGGAACAAAGAGCATGTGAAGGAGAGTAAAATTAAATTGTACTCAAGGTAGGCAGAAGCTTCATCATAGAGCACTTTAAATGCCAAGCCCAAGGACTTTGTATTTTGTCCTAGACTCAAGATGGAGCAAGTCCCTGGAAATTCTGAATAGGGGCACAATATGGTCCCTTCTTTGTTTAGAGATGTCATTTTGGCAATTATGTGGAGAATGGATTAGAAAGATGAGACACATTTTTCTCTTTATAATAAGATTAAGGAATTAGCAATGGTATGAAAAAAAATGCCATCAGAATGTTTTTAAAATGCATGTAACAGAAGGAAGCACAGACAAGTAGGACAGTTTTGAAAAGTAATATTGACTTTGTTATAGATATTTTTAAAAAAAACAAATAAAAACTCAAAGTTTTATGTTTTTCTCTGCATATGGAAATGCCCACTTTTTTGGTGTTAAGAAGCAGGCAGCAAGTGAAATGGGAATCTATTACAGTAGCCTAGGTGAGAGTCAATTAAGGCTATAGAGACAATAACCCTTAGCCTAGCTTCTTTACCTTTTGAAGAGCTATTCTCAATAGTTTTGTTTTCTTTCTAGGCTAAGGATCATTGTTTCCACAGTTTCTGAGTACTCTTGTTGGTGGCGGGCTCCTCTACCTGTCTGGGTATAGTAGAAAGAAGGGTCAGTATGGTGGCTGAGAATCTAGATTCAAATTCCAGCTTTGTCACTGACCTTCCTTGAGCGAATAACTTAGCCTTAGCCTCTTTTGCCTCAGTTTTCTCATCTATAAAATGTAGAGGTTGGTTAGAGGATTTGAGGACCAGCTATAAATCTATGATCTTGTGATCCCTTATGATCTTCCTTCCTCTCTAGACTACAGGTAGACCCCTAACTAGAAATTAGGGTACCTGAGGCAAATTTAGTTGGTGGCAGAGGGGTGTAGTAATATACCACACCTTTGTCAGACTGGTCAGTCATGCCAAAAGAGAGGTACAGAATCTAGCCCCAGTCTAAGAATGAGTTAAAGTCTCAAGGAGCCAAGAAAGAAGTGGTAGATAGGATATAGTGGTAGGAAAAGTTTGGGGGATGGGGTACAGAAGTCTATCCTGCCCTACAGGAAAATAGAAGGGGAAGGGAATAAGAGAAGCAGGGGGAGAGATAGAAGAGAGGATAGACTACGGGAAGGGGTATTCAGAATGCATGCCATCTTGGGGTGGGGGGAGGGGTGAAAATTTGGAACTCAAAATCTTGTGGAAGTAAGTATTGAAAACTAAAAATAAATAAATTTATATTAAAGAAAAGTTTGGGGGAGGGGGTACCATATAGTACATAGTCCAGCAAAGGACCACAAGGAAATAAGGACAGTGGGCCAGAGTCCATTGAATTGTTTGCATGTTGTCTCCTCCATTAGAATGTAAGCTACTTGAAGACAGGGTCTATGTTTTTGCCTTTCTCGGTATCCCTAGTGCTTAGCACAGTGCCTGGCACAGAAGAAGTATTTAATAAATGATTGTTGGGGGTGATGGTAATTTAGTAACATTTGGAGCTCACTGTTAGAATCAATTGATGAGCCACTATGCCAGGTTGCATTACTTTGTTGCCCAAGTAAATTAACTCACAATGAGTTAAAGTAGAAAGCCTTTGGTTTTTTAAATAAATGCAGTACACCTTGGAGAATGTGAATGTAAAGACGTTGAGTCTGCGAGATGTCTATTACTGTACATTGAGGTGATTGGCATTTTTTACTAGGAGCAACGCAACCTTTATTCTTTATTTCCAAATGACTGAGCTTTGCTAGCTTGCAGTAGTTTTTTTAACTCTCACAATCAAATCTTCAGATGTTATTTTTCAGATCGTATCTAGAGCTTGAAGGGTCCCCAAAGGCCATCTAGTACAACTGCCTCATTTTACGGAAGAGTAAACTGGACCTCTAGTGAAGCTAAATGACTTACTAATGTTAAAGGTTTTTGGGGTTTTTTTGGTTTTTTTTAAGCAATGAGTGTTAAGCGAATTGACCAGGGTCACACAGTAGTAAGGTCTGAGGCCAGATTTGAACGCAGGCCAATGTTTCAGTCTTAAAGGAGTTCACTTTCCTGGGACTTTGTAGGACAGCTTTGTGCAGTGGGCAAACACCCACTGTTTTGGAGCTAGGGTTTGGATCTTGCCCCTCCTACCTTACCGTTGTGACTTTGTACGAGTACCTTAACCTCTCTGGGATTTAAGTTCATGGTTTATGAAAGAAGGGAGCTGGACTAGATGTCTCCTAATGCTCCTCCTTCCAGCTCTCTACTTGTAATCCTTTGATTTCCACATCCTATATCCCATCGACCCTAAGGTTTCTACGTCAGCTCTAATGAAGGTAAGAGACAGATGTCCTAAGTGAATAGGTAGAAAATAGGGGAAGGATTTTAGTACTTTTTAACCAAATGATTCGGAGGATCCTTGACCACACTCACTGACTTCCTTTTGGGTTTCTCTTGTCATTTCAGTGCCTCCACCACTGCTCCTAAGAAGACTATTCAGACTACTCTGACCAACTTGGTTTTAAGAGGCACAGATGCAATTGTCCAAGAAACACGACAGAAATTAGGTACTTTCCCCCACCCCTTTGTAAAATGACATTCTTTTCTAGTCTGAATCTGTTCAATATTTGTAGTGAGTAGTAGTAGTAGTAGTAGTTACCAAGTCCTCTTTCAAGTTGTAGGAGGCCACATACTGTCTATACAAACAGTGTGATCTAATCTCATGTTAAAAATTACTAAACCTCTTTGGATCTCTCTCCATCTTTACAGTAGTATCCATGATATTGGGCACATGGTAATTCCCATATATTATCTTATATATAATCAGTTATCTCTATATAGGCACTCATTGCCTCACTGGCAAACAGTCAGCAATACCTGGCATAGGAGGAGCTTAGTAAATATAAAACAACACATACTAGTGAATGAATGGGCTTGTGCAGAAAATAACTTCTTTTCTATCCAATCCTAAATGAAGGTAGCCTGCCCACCTGCTCGGATGGTGTGGACTTGAATGTCTTTCTCTCAGTGTTCCTCCTTCTTTATTCAGGCCTGAATTACGTATACCAAGTTAAAAGGAAAGGTAATGAACCCAGAGTTTCAAATTGTCTTCAGGTTTTGAACTTTATCAGGAATTTTTTTTTTTTGGTATCCTACAGGACTCCCACAGAAGACTCAGTCATGTTCTGAGGAATTTAAACAATTAATGGATTTGCCTACAGTTGGAGCAAGAAACCTAAAAAAACATTTGGCCAAATCCAAATCACCAGGTGCCTGCATCAACAAGTATTATTAAATTTATTAAATATAAGGGGCAGCTAGGTGGTGCAGTGGATAGAGCTCTGGCCATGGAGTCAGGAGGACCTGAGTTCAAATCTGGCCTCAGACACTTGACACTTACTAGTAGTGTGACCCTGAGCAAGTCACTTAACCCCAATGCCTAGCCATTACTAAATATCTACTATGTGCGAGGCATTGTGCTAGATGCTGGAGGTTTAAGTATAGCAAGTAAGACAATGCATACTCACAATGAACTTACAGTCTGATAGGGAAGGCGATAAGCATATGTAAAAATGTATACCAAATAAATATAAAGTTAATAAATACAAATACATACAAAGTAATTAAGTATAAGGTAATTCAGGGAGGAGAGCACTAGCAGCCTAAGTTGCATCTTAAAGGGAGAGAGACTCTTAGTTTTTGTTGGTTTTTTTTTCTTTTGATTAGGCAATGGAGTTAAGTGACTTGTTCAGGGTAACGCAGCTAGTAAGTGTTATGTATCTGAGGCTGGATTTGAACTCAGGTTCTCCTGACTCCAGGGCCAGTGCTCTATCCACTGTACCATCTAGCTGCCATCAAGATGGACTCTTAGACAGATGTAAGAAGGGAATATATTCCAAACATGGAGATGAAAAATGCGAAGGCACCGAGATGTAAGATGGAGTGTCGAGTGAGAAGAATGGAGAGGTCGGTTTTCCAGGGTCTCAGTGTAAGAGGAAGAGTCATTAATATCCACAGAAACTAGAAAAATAGGATAGGGCCAGGTTGTGAAGGGCTTCGGAAGCAGAGAAGCCCTGCCCCCTCTCTTCTAGGAAACCCCCAGAGCCAGTTGCATAGTGGAGTCACGTGGTCAGATTTGCACTTAAGGAAAATTACTTTGGCCATAGTGTGTGGGCCATGCTACAGTGGTGGCTCCTTGAGGCAATGAGACCAATTAGGAAGCTGCTACGATATTCTAGGTGAAAAATTATGAGGGCTTAAGGTGGCAGCTATGAGAGGAGAGAAGGGATCAGACACAAGAGACACTATGAAGGAAGAAATAGCAAGATTTGGCAAATTATTGGCTATGTAGTGTGGGAGAAAGATTGAGGAAGCCAGAATAATAATACTGAGATTATAAACCTGAGACACTGGAAGGATGGCAGTGCCTTCAATGGAAATGGGGAAATCTGGAAGAGAAGTGGTTCGGGAGGAAAGATAATGACTTCAGTTTCAGACATATTGAGTCCAATATAGGTGGTGCTATATAACACTATGTATAATAGCTATGTGACCATGGGCAAGTCAGTTAACTTCTATTTGCTTCAGTTTCCTTACTTGTGGAATGGTAATAATAATAGTACCTACCCCACAGGGTTGTTGTAAGGATCAAATGAGGTAGTATTTATAGAATACTTTGCACAGTGCATGGCATATAGTATGAATATATAAATATAAATGCTAGTTATCATAATTATTGTTGTCATTATTATTAACATATCTCAAGGACATCCCATTTGAAATGTTCAGTAGACAATTGATGATTCAGGACTGAAGCCCAGGAGTGAGATGGGGCTAGATATAGATCTGGTAGAAATGTAAGTGGAGAGAGGGGTCAGAGGGGAGAGATGTTTTGAAGTTACATCAGCTTTTATCCATTGGTATGTTCTAACGTGGACCCTTGGGATGAACCTTAATTGAGGATTTATGTTTTAGGACCTCTGGGAAACCCTTGTCCTCCCATCCAATCCATCCCTGCATCAGCTTTGCTGAAACAACAGAAACAACATATGTTAGAAATAAGGAAAAAGAGAACCGAAGAAATACAGAAGCGGTAATAACAACAGTTATTCTTCCACATTCAATTAATGTAACTCATTAATTCTTAGGCCGGCTAAGTGATGTTTAGCTGTCTGAGATCTGACTGTAGATTTATTGCTTTTTAGCCTTTTAAGTTATTAAAGTCTAAATGACCATTTCTATGCCCTGAAGTGAAATAACATAGGATACATTAGTTGTTAATCCAACAAAATAACTTCATTTTGTAGGTGAAAAAAACAGAGGGAAGACATCACAGTTGAAGTTATTATTAGTTCTTTTCTCCTGAAGACCTTCTAATTTCTTCGTATATGTTCTCTCTTCCTGCTAAACAGAGGGAGGAGGGAGTTATAATACAGAGAAGGTTATGGGATTTGCCCAGCATGCCCAGAGTAGGGCTGGAACTGAAAGCCATATCTCTTGACTGCCAAGTCTAACCCATAGACCACTAATCCATATACATGAGAATCCCTGCAGGCCATATCTTGACTTCTAAAATGTAATGTTATCTATGTTGTATTGTATTTTTATTTATTTTGTTAAGTATCTCCCAATTACATTTTATTTTGGTTCCAGCCACACTAGGGAATGGTGGGGGACACAGATATTTGATGCCTCGGTTCTAGATAACTCTAACTGTTGCTGTTCTAGCATTGAATCTATGATACTGTGATCTTTTAAAATAAAAAATTCAAATTGTGTGAACTATGTGCAGCTTAATTCCATGAAAAAGTAAATGCCTTAATTGGATTAAGATTTTAAACACAGTAAGAGTAAAAGGTGAAGGTAGTGGTGACTACTGTGTGCTTATTTGAATTATTAGTCATTTCACAGAGGAAAATACTTTGACATCAGCTTATTTTTCACTTGGGTGTTGGTATTAGTCCAATTCTTCCCACTCTTCATTATTAGGATACATTCTGTTTTTACATAGCCTTGCATGTGTTTATTTTGTTCTTGCATGTTTCTTTAAAGATTCCTTGAAAGTACAGCTGGAGTCAAAAGACCAGCTTCACATTCCTCTTCAGAGAAGTCCCCTTTGCAGTCTTCAAGGCCAGGGGCAGAATTTCCCAAGGTGAAAAGAACCCTCAGTCCGCAGACCCCAAAGCTTGGACGAGGATTCTCAGAAGGAGATGATATTCTCTTCTTTGATGACTCCCCCCAACCAGGACCAAAGCTAAGTGCTTTTGCAGAAACTAAGAAGGTAACTGCTTGTATGTCAAGTGTGAGTGTGTACCGTAATACTGCACCATGGCTCTGAATCAATATGTATCGATGGTGATTAGAAATGAAGAAATGTGAAAAAAGAGTTGACATTTCTCTAGCATCTTATGGTCACGGAATGTATTCCCCTCCATTATCTCATTTGATCCTTCCAATGAGTGACCCTGTGAGAGCTAATGCCAATACTGTTATCCCTATTTACAAATCTGAAAACTGAGACTTTGGGATTAGATGGCTTGCCTGCTAAGAATCTTAAATTGAAGCAAGGGTTTGTTGTATTTGAAGGTGTATAACTTAATTTGATTAACATTCTAAGAGACTTAAATTTCATCCTGTATTGTGATCAAATGCTATATGAATCCAGCGGCAAAGTCAGTTTTTTGTAATCAGGTTGAAGGATTAATGACATGCGAAGAGTTAATAGGCCCCAGAGTCACAGGGCTGCAGAACTAGAGGGACCCTGGAGACCACCTAGTCTGATGCCTGTTTTTCAAAACTTGTTGATACGTTTTATTTTGACACAAAAAACAATCCCAACAAACTTAAGCAGCACTCCCCCTACACACACACACACACACACATGCACAACACGCGTGCGCACGCACACTCTCGCTATATTTCCTGAAAAGATTGTTAACAGAAAGGAAGCATATATATTTTAACTTTCATAATATGGAAAAATGAAAGCAAGTGAAGGTAGGTGATGGAAGATAACTAAAAAGAATTGCATAGTCCTATAAAAATAGTCCCAGAGCAACTAAAGCTCAGAAATGAACTGAGGTTGGTGAGGAAAGCTAAGGATGACAAAAAGGGAAGGATTTTTTCGTTGTTGTTATATTGGAGGAAAGATCAAACAGCAGGAGTCTTATATGACTGCATTTCATGATGGATGGTATAATAATAGATGGTGTTTTGAAGGCAGAACATTTCAATCCTTTTTTTTTTCCCCTGTCGAGGAGTATTGGTCTCTGGACAGGAGGGAACAGAACTGACTGGTAGGTAGTTAAATGCTAAGATAATTAAGGAAGTAAAAAAGAGAACAGCTGCTTTACTCAAGTCAGCTGGCCCAAATGAACTTTGAAAGGCAGCCCAGAGCCCGGTACAGTTGATTTGAATGGGGGTTTTGTTCTCCTTCCTGTTTTTAAGACAATATTTTGTCCCTGAGATTTTTTTTTGCTTAATCTGCATGAAGGCAGCCCTATTCTCACAGGCTCCCTTTCCCTCAACTTCAACCCTTGCCCCTCCCATTTATCAACTCTTTCCCTGATTTTGGAATTTTACTTAATTTATTGATCTGGTTTTCTTCCGTTAGTTCTCTAATTCTTGCCCTTTTACTTTTTTTTAATCTTTTCCTTTTCCTTTAAGTGCTGAATTCCAAATCTGTTCTTCTTTCCTCCCCACCAGGTTCTTTTATGTTTTTCTCTAGTTTTCTGTCTTTTTCTTTAAAGAAAAGATTTTCTTTACCTTAGTTTCTTCAGTAATCCTTTTCTGTCCATTCTAAATTTTTATTATTTTATTCATAGTCTTGATACCTATTTATTCCTTTAATCTCTGTGTGTTTGTCATGGAATTAAAGCTGCTGAAGTACCAAGCTTGAATTCTTCTTTTAACCAATTTCTGTGTTAATGCTATTGTAGATCTTGCTCCCGCTCCCCTTTTTCTGTTGTGCCTCGATGTCTAAAAAACACAAAAGAGCAATTATGCATCAGAGGTGGAATAATTACAACTGCCTCCACAAAACGTGAAACATCCATTCCTGCAGGAAGTCGTGAGAATAGAAGCATTGCCCTACGGTAGAAATTTCCCAGCGTCCCAAACTGTTGAGTCTAACTCTACCCTCTGCCTTCCCCATGATAGTTTTCATTTGAATATAATCTCTCTGAGTCCATGCCCTGGCAGGTCTCTGAATGCACTATGTCTCTTGTAACTCTGATTTCCCTTCTTCTAAGGAACGCTGTGCTGTTGTCCATGGAGGAACAACGCTCACAGAAGTCGTGAGTGGTCTCCTTGTGCACCCAATCCCTGCAGATCAGACCCCTCGTAACATCTTCATCTCTCATTACAGGATATATCTCTCCCCACCATGGGAGTATTCTTCAGAGGAACTCTATCCGCTGCTAAATCAAAATCTCCTCCTTTGTTTCATCTTATTTCAGTCCTTCCTTTTGACATGTCGCCTGTCCTCCTACAGTACCTCTTCTTGCTGAGAGACTACACAAGTTATTTTCCTTTTAGTGCTTATCTGGGACTTGATTAGGGGATGTCAACAATCCTCTACCTCCCCACTGCCTTTTATGTACCTTCCCACTCTTCAGTTATTCTCACAAAATACATTGATTTATCTGTTGGGCAGGCTGTCAGACTTAATTTGTGATGTTCCTCCCCTGTCAATTCTCCTTTCCTTAAGTTCTGCTTCAATCTTTATCTCCTTGTTTACTTTGAGAAAGAAGTATCTGGTCCCTTCGTTGTTGTGATTTTTTTAACCCATAGATGTCTCTTTTTCCTCTTGAACAGTCTCCAGAAATGCCATGATTTATTGTGTTATCTGTTCTTTCTTAGGTGTTGCACTTATTTACTTTTTTTGTAGTTCTCTTGTTTGAGGTGTTTGCAAGTCAAATCTGTCCACGTCTCTGTTTGTTTCTTTTTGTAAGTGTTTCCAGCCCTGAAATCTGTCCGTGTCTCTGTTTCCAGCACTGATCTTTTTCATGGGTGATTTGGCTTAGATTTGCAAGCTGTGTCTTTTTTGGGTTTCCTCTTGAGCTCTTTTGCTTTTCCAAATACATTAATCTATTCCATTTGCTGTCTTCCGGCTTGTGCGTTAGAATTTGTTCTTTCCTTTCTATCTGAAGGTCTTTCTCTTGGCCACTGGCTGAATTTGTTGTCATTAGAATTATTACATGTAACCTCCCTGTGTCTTGGAGTTTGAAGCATGAAGTCTTTTTCTGGAGGTGATCTACGCATTCTTTTAGTTGGTGCTCTGTGTTGTGTGCTCAGAAGTTTTGGGCCGTTTACATGTATTCCTTGTTTTATGATATTAAGCCTTTCTGACTTTTCATGTTCTTCTGCAGGTCTTTGATCCTTAAATTGTCTCTATGTGTCACATCTTCAAGATCGTTATGTTTCGTTTGTATAGAAATAACATGTTCTTTTACCATTACTGCTTTGTATTCCTCTTCTTCCAGATTATCCTGAACTTAAGTATATTTATATTCCCAATAAGTTCTTGCTTTTGCTTCTTAGAGAAATTTCCCACCATGGATTCAAGTTTTTCTATTCTACTTGTTATTTATTCTGTGCCGGTCGTAACTTCTGCATTTATTTTCATTTAAGTCCTTTCAAGGTTCTGATTTGTCTTTTGAACCATCCTGAAACTTCTTGCCATGGTTCCTTGTTCTCTTGGAAATCCAGCGTTCAGTGTTTTGTCAGCTATTGGTTCAGTAGGTTTTCTCTTGAAATAGTTGTTTAGAGATATAATTTTTAAGATGTCTTATTATTCATCTTGCCTTCTGATGTTAATATCCTTCATGTTGATTAAGTCCCTTTTTCCTTATTTTCCTTGTTTCTCACTTTCTGATTCCTTCCCTTTTGATGGTGTGTTTCAGACTTCTCCCATTTGGGCAATTCACATTTCGCCAGTCTTGGTTTCTACTTCAGGTAACTTCTGGATGGACAGGACTGGCTTCAGTTGCCGGTTCCCTTTCCTAAGCCTACCTGGCACCCTGACCCAGTTCCTTGCATTCTTTAGTTCTCTCACTGGGCTGAGTCACTACCTATAGCTTTTTTCAGACTTGAGAGAACAAGGAGCAGGGGTTATGGCAGAGTTTCTGCTTCCTTGGAGTTCCCTAACCTAGGAACCAACCCAGACAGAGTGTGATTTCCTCCCCTTAACACCCCGCTCCCGACAGAGAATGATTTCCTCCCCCGCCACCCCTCTCTATATGTGCTGACAGAGTCTTCACCGGCAGACCAGCATCCACAGAGTGGATCCCCAGAGCACAAGCTGGAGAGTTAAGTAGGGTACACTACCAAAAGGGGGGTGCTAGGTAAATGCTAGATATTAATATTCTCCACTGTTAATTCATAAGGCTGTTGCCTTTCAGGGCTTCTTGCTTTTAGTCCTATGGAGATAGCTGTAATTACTCTACTTCTGTTTGTTTTGGGTTTTTTTGGTCAGGCAGTTGGGGTTAAGTGACTTGCCCAGAGTCACACAGCTAGTGAGTGTTATGTGTCTGAGGCCAGATTTGAACACAGGTCCTCCTGACTCCAGGGCCGGTGGTCTATCCACTGCGCCACCTAGCTGCCCCAATTACTCTACTTCTAGTAAGAATTCCCCTATGGGAGTTTTTTTGAGAGTTGTTGGGGAATGGAAAAACTGTGTCATCCTCTGTCACATCAGTCACCATGACCTGAACCAGTATGGTGGAAAGAGTAATGGATTCAGAAATAGAGGCATTGGATTCAAATCTTGCCTCTGCCTCTTACTCCCCTTACCTTGAACAGATCCAGTGGGAGCTTCTTGATGTGTAAAGTGAGATTGGACTGAATAGCCTGTCAGGTGCCTATGAGCTCAAAATCTGCGAGCCCATAAATTGCATTTTAGAGCATTGAAAGAGCTGAGGGATATGAACTACCATCAGGTATCTTTGAAAGAGGATTAAAAAAAAAAACAAAACAGGAAATAACCAAGATTGGTGAAGGGAAATAGCTATTATTTCAAAAAAGGAAACAGAATGGAGTCTGCAAACTGTAAGCCAGTGAGCTTGATTTTAATTCCTGGCAAAATTCTAGAACATATCATTAAGGGATAGTTAATGAACACTTGGGGAAAAAAATTACAAAAAGCCAGCATACCTTCATCAAGAATAAGTCATACGTGGTGCAGCTAGGTGGCGCAGTGGATAGAGCACTGGCCCTGGATTCAGGAGGACCTGAGTTCAAATCTGACTTCAGACACATGACATTTACTAGCTGTGTGACCCTAGGCAAGTCGCTTTACCCCATTGCCTATCCAAAAAAAAAAAAAGAGTGGGTCTCCTATCAGACTGTCACCTATCTTTCACCAGAGTAATGAACTGGTAGATCATAGGTTTACCTAGCTTTTTAATAGAGCATTTATTTGATAAAGTCTCCCGTGGTATTCTTGTGGAAAAGACTGAAAGATATGGGCATAGAATAGAATAATTGGGTGGATTAGGAGCTGGTTGAATAGCTACATCTCAAGAGAAGTCATTAATGTTTTGATATTTTCTTAGGGTTCTGGTGAAAAATTTCCAGCTATGTATCTCTGGCTTTGTGATATTTAACATTTTTATCAGTGACTTAGTTAAAGGCATATATAGCACACTCACATTTGCAGATGATAAATAAACCTTGGAAGAATTGCAAATATGTTGGATTATAAAGTTAGAATCCAAGAATATCTTGCTTGGCAGGGATGGAATAATGGTCCAAAGTTACTAAGATGAAAGTTAATAGGAACAGATGTAAAGTCTCATAACTGTTCAAATTACCTTCATAAGCATGAAGTGAAGGGTGAATCTGAACAGTTCACTTTTATAGATCCAAGGGTCCAGTGGGTCATAAGCTCAATAGAAGCTGATAGTGTGATATGGCCCCCAAAAATGTAATCGTGGGCTGAACTAATAGGTAGATAACATCCAACTCCACTAGGAAGAATGAAGAGCTTCAGAATATGCCAAGTGAGGGTTGGGAGAAAGAATTGAGGATCTTTATTATGGAGAAGTAAAGACTTAAGGAATACATGTTAACAGAAATGCTCCTGTATGGATGAGGGATCAGAGAACTGACCTGAAAGTCTTGAGTGGAAGAAAAAACATGCCAGCAATTGGAGCTCCCTAAAGTTGGATGGGCTACCTCTTTGGACAAAGGCTAGATAATGGGGAGTCTTGTTCAAATACATTTTGTACTAGGCAGCCTTTAAGGTCACTTCTAACTCTGAGAGTCAGTTTCCTGACTCCCAGGCCATTACACAACACTGCCACCGTGGGTTGTGGTCCTTCTGGCCACGATATAGATGTTGGCACTGCCTCCATTGCGATATCAATGGCAAGGATGCATCCAGGGCTTTGGGGGGTTACTTTACAAATTGAGGCCAGTGTTGAGAAGCGAGATGCCATTTTGTATCTGGTATGCTTCACGTGTACCCATGTGTGCATTCATGCATACACTAACATACCAAATATTTCTCATGGTTTCTTTTTTAATGGTGTTTTGGCATGGTTGCTAAGCCCCATACCCAGATCTGACGTTCTGCCTGAGGTGACCCAAATAAGAACCAATGCATATCTCATTTAATCTCTAACCCAGCAGGTTATCCAAAGCAGGACAACCCAACAAACTGGGGCATGACTTTGGAATTTGAGGTCCGTGGCTTAATGTCTTAAACAGAAATTTGGATGAGGCACAATTTATTGCATACTTATTGTTACTGTATCCAACTTCTCCCTTCTATCTCCTACATAGCTACAAAAGTGATTTTCCTAAAGCACATGCCTGTCCTCTAGCTCAAAAAAGAAACTCTTGTTTACCATTGAACCCCTTCACAGGCTGGCTCTAACCTGTCTGTTCAGTCTGATTACATATTCTTTCTCTTCACGCATTCTGTTTTCCAGCTATATTGCCCTACTTTATGTTCCCCATACCAATGTCATCTCTATGCTTTTGATTTTTCTTTTAATAAATTTTTATTGCTATCTTTTATTTTTGCACCACTTGCATTTGCCAATAGATCACTCTCCATGCCTTTGCCCAAGGCTCCCCTGGCCCCATCTCAGAATGTTCTCTCTCTTCACCTCTGCTTTTTGAAACCTCTAATTCTCTTCAAGGCTTAGCTCAAATATAACTTCCTACAAGAGGCCTTTCCTTATTTCCAAAATTGTTAGTGTTTTCTCATCCCACCCCCATGAATTTATTTTGTAGTATCTATTTGTCTCTCTCAGTACAGGAAACCGGGCAGTAGAATGGAAGCTCTTTGAGGGCAGGGACTGTTTTCTTTTGTCTTTGTATCCCCCAGTGCTTAGGGAAGTGCTTTATACATAGCAGTTGCTTGATATGTACTTGTTGACTTGAGTTGAATTATGAGTTGAATGTAGGTCTTGTTGCAGAGCCCACATATGGCTGTAACATTTTCAGTGTCATTGAGTGAAAATCACGCCAGATCAGGATCTTTGACTCAGCCTCAGTTCCTTTAAATGTAAAATGAAGGCATTGCAAATAGGTGTTCTCTTAAGGTCCCTTCTGGTTCTGATATTTTATAATTCTAAGTAACCAATGCATTTCAATATAGACAAGCTAGAATGTTGGGCCAAATCTAAGATTACAATTAATAGGGATAAATGTGAAGTTGCGTACTTCAATTTTAAAAAATCAGTTTCACAAGTAGAATATGGGGGGGAGACTTGAAAAAACAGTACATCACCTGAAAGATACGGGGGCTTTAACAGACTGCAAGTTCAGTATCAGTCAGCAGCATGACATGGCAGCCAGGAAAGCCAGTGCCATCTGAGGTGACAGAAAGAGAGGCATAGTGTCTGAGACTAAGGGAGATAGATGTTCTCTTGTCTTGGTCAGACCATAACTAGAATACTGTAAACAAAGTAGGTTGTTCCTTCCTGAAGGTCTAAAAGAAAAGGCTGGATACTTGTCAGCATATTATAGGATGGATTCTTGTCCAGTTACAAGTTGGGCCAGATGGGATCTTTTCCACCTCTGAAATTTGGGATTCATTAGATGCTCTGCATCCTAACCTATGGATAATCTGAAGCCAGGGAAAGCTGGATGGAGGTGGAGAAGTGGGTGTTGACTAGCTTTCCTATCAGTCTCACCTGTTGAGTATTGTTGTCTCTGATAACGGCAAAACAGTTCTGTTTACTTAGGGAAACCTCCATTCATAGTACAGATTGTTATCAAATCAGAAAAACAAGTAGGCCTGAGTGAATTGTGGAGGGGAATCATTTTTCCTGATTTAATTCTTAAATGAAATGAGTAGAAAAGGGCAAGAATTACGAAGGAGTAATAAAACCCTATACTAACAAAACCTTCATTCATAAATTTTTTTTTTTCTGTGCTGCGCTTTGCTTTTAGGAGAAAGGTACAAATCACAAGAAAACAAACTCAAATTAGGAGCATTACTTATATTTAGCAAAACTAATATAAGTAAATAATAATTCCAGTATTTAGATAAGAGAGTCAGTACACATTCAGCCCAATGTTCTCTACCTCTCAGAGAAAGAGTTCTTAACCTGGGATCTGTGAACTGTTTTTTTGGTTTGGTTTTTTTTTTTTTTGACAACTGTATTTCAATATAGTTGATTTCCTTTGTAATCCTGTGTATTTCATTTTATGCATTTAAAAACAATCTGTAGCCTTCATTAGACAACCAAAAAGGGTCCATAGCAGAAAGAAGATTAAGAATCCTTATTCTAAGGCTATGTCTGTGGTTTCTTGTAGCATTCAGAATAATGACCCTGTGACACTACAAGATAGGTCTGCTTTCATCAAGGAAGCATTCTTTTAGCTTCAAATGTACTTAGAAATGTGGGAAAATGAATACTAGAATGATGTTTAAATAAAGTGTGAAACAAAAGTGTCTCTCTGTATAACAGATTCAGTTGACCAAGGAATTATTGTTTTCTGCTCCCAAAAGTCACCAACATTTTCTCCTTCCTAAAATGACCATACAGTGGCGAGGCATGATCTGTTTACTGGTATTTTGTTTGTTTGTTTGTTTTGGTTTTTATGCCCTCTCTCCTTTTTCTAGTTAACAGCTATTGCCAAATTGAGAGCCAAAGGCCAGGTCCTTACAAAAGCAGATCCAAACTGTATTAAACGGAAGCAGTGTGACCTTCAGAGCGTAACAGAGCGTGTAGAGAAAAGCACCTCATCACCGCCAGGTAGAGTAAATAGAAATCGCATAGAGGGTAAAGAAAAGTGGGCCAAAGAAAATGAATGCTTTTCAGAAGTAGGATGGTTCTGGAAATTTTCCTTAGTGGATCGATCAACAGCCACCCCTGCTCTCTTGTTTACTATGGTTGTGTAATAGAACTAGTCCAAAGTTCTTCCTGTTTTGATGTTTTAAGCATCAATCTCTCTTTTTTTTTTTTTGGTGAGGCAATTGGGGTTAAGTGACTCGCCCAGGGTCACACAGCTAGTAAGTGTTATGTGTCTGAGACCAGATTTGAACTCAGGTCTTCTTGACTTCAAGGCCAGTGCTCTATCCATTGTGCCACCTAGCTGCCCCAAAGTTCTTCCTAAAATACATTAACCTTTTTTTCTGTAAGAAGACCTGAATTGAATTTCTGCTATCATTGTGCTGATGCATTTTATGCCTAAATTTACACAAACTAATAATGATACACATTATATATTTTAAATATTAATCCAGTGGCCCCTCAGAGAGATAGATGCACCCTGTGACTCTATTTTTCTGCCAGAATTCTAAACTGAGCTGGGTTGTTTATTGTGAACCTTGTACAAAGGAACATCAACCCTTTACTACCATAAATCAGCATTCAGAACAATTTCCTGGGGCAAGAGGGATTTCACGAGGTCATAGAATTAGAGCAGGAAAAGACGTCAGAGGCCATATAGTCTGACTCCCTTATTTTACACTGGAAACAAAGACCCAGAGAAGTTCACCAGGTGACTTGCCCAAACTCACAGGCATAAGTGACAGTAAGGAAAGGGGTAAGATTTGAACTCAGGTCCCTCTGACTCTCGAGTCAGTGTGCTCTTTCCACGGGACCACAGCTTCTTCCTGTTCTTTACAAATAACATTCTATTTCCCATCTTGGTACCTTCACTCACACTGTTTTCCTTGCCTGAACTACACTGCTTTCTCACCGCCACCTGTCAGAATCCCTAGATTTCTTCCAAGCTCAGCTCTATGGCTATCTTCTATATTAGATCTTTCTTCATTCCCCCTAGCTCCTCATGCCTCCCCCCAAAAGTTATCTTGTGTTTATTTTATAGATTTTTTTTTATCTCCTGAATAATATGTAAGGTCCTGGAAGGTAGGGTTTCTATTATTTTTGTCTTTGTATCTCTAGTGTCTGGCACCTGGTTGGCTTTTAATAAATGCTTATTGATGGTTTTTAAAATTATAACTGGTAATTTATATTACTTTAATGTTTCAGAAGCTTAAGGCCAATGGTCTTATTAACTTATTCACTTACTAATTTTCCTTTCTATAACCCTTAAAGATTTATAAAGCACTTTCTTCACCCTGACAGCCTTGTGAGGTAGGGAGTAAAAATAATTATTATAGATGGAAAAATGAAATCTTGGGGACACGAAGTGGCATGTCCACGGTCAAGCAATTTTGGGAAGGTAAAGTCAGGATCAGAACCCAGGTTCTGATTGTTACAGTCCTATTTCCCCTACCCGCTGTTTTCCAAGTCAGGTTTGACCTTAATAATAGAATGGTTTTAGTGTAATTACATAATTATTTATGTAGCATACTACGGCTTACTGCCCTGGGAGGCAAAGAGTGTAGGTATCATCGTCCCCATTTTACAAGTGAGGAGATTGATGCTCAAAGCCATTAGTGATTTACCCAGGGAATGAATAGGCAGTGGGAGGAGATTTCAGAGAAGTAAGGTATGGCAGGCTGATTAAGAAACAGGCCACGAGGAAACCGACCCTGAAATAGCACAGCAAAACCAGACACTGTAAAGTGATGTTTTTCTCTCTGCTGTAGCTGAAGATGACCTAGAACCTGTGCAAAAGAAGCGTCGAGAACAGCTGGCCTACCTAGAGTCTGAGGAGTTCCAGAAAATTCTCAAAGCTAGATCCAAGCACACTGAGGTGCTGAAGGAGGTAACAGCCTGGCACCAAATGTGACCATTTTGACTCACCCCAGATTAAAGGGCCAGAGCCTCAGGACTATGCACACCTTTACTTGCCTTCGGCAAACAGGAACTTGTGGGATATTGGCTTTTAAGAAACTTACCACCCTGCTACTCGATACCACCTAGTACCTAGTGTGGAATTTAATTGGCTACTATATAAGGAAATGATTTACCAAGGCAACCCATTAAACAGAACAATGACCATCAGTCCAGCGCAACCCCTTTCTTCAATGACAATGGCAAGCTAGTGAAGAGAGGGGGCTGAGAAAAACAGCTTTTAGACTTCATTTAGCACTTACTCAACTACTGTCATTCATGTAAGATTTTTTTTAACAATCGAGAAATTACTGATCTTATATACTGGGTGACAGGATACAAAAAGATGTTGACAGGCTAGATCACTGGGCTGAATCTAATAAAATGAAATGGGAATTTTGTTATGCTATAAGATCAGCAAGATCTTACCATACAGTGGTATGATTTAGCAGCCAAAAGGGTTAATGGAATCTTGGGGTGCATTAAGAGAGGTATAGCTTCAAGAAATAAGGAGGATTTGGCCCTACAGTCATCCTCTGCCCTGGTCAGAGATAGGCAGTGTGTGGAGCATAGGAGGGCAACCAGTTTGGTGAAAGACCTCAAGTTCATCATAAGAGGATCAGTTGAAGAAACTGGGAATATTTAGTCTGGAGAAAGAAGACTTGGAAGGTATTAACAGCTATTTTCTCCTCCTGAGGCAGTATGCTGTCCATGGGGGCCCACACACTCTCAGAGGTAGTGGTCCCTTTGAGCACCAAATCCCTACAGATGAGATCCATTGTACGGTTCCCCTCTCTCCTTATAGATTATCCTCATGGGAGTGTTCTTCAGTGGGACACACACCCCCTTCCACCAGTGAATTGACCTTCTGGCCTTTTTTTCCTGAGGCTTTGATCTCTCCACTTGCCACCTCACTCCTCCTGTATCCTCTCTTCCTGAGACACTTTATTGTTTAGTATGGACTGGATTAGGATGTATCACCCATTCCTCTATGCTTCCTCCCATTCTGAAATTTATTCCCCCCCCAAAAAAATGAATCATTTGGATGCAAGATGTTGTGAGATTTAGGCCATGTTGTTTCAGCTTTGGGGACATTTTTCAAAGGGATTGTCTAGTGTCAACTTGATATTCAGAATGTTTTCATAGCACTTGTATACATCCTCAGTTGTTATTACTTTTGTCAGATCCTTAACCCCCTTTCAATTCTGCTTTTCCAGGCGGAAGCAGACCTACAGGAACACTATTTTGAACCTCTGGTGAAAAAAGAACAAATGGAAGAAAAAATGAAAAGTATTAGGGAAATGAAATGCCGAGTGGTAACGTGCAAAACGGTAAGTGAAGGAAGAAAGTTTCCTGGGGGCTCAATCTGGTGACTGCATAAGATGCTGGATAGCCCCTAAAGTGTGGAGTCTCAACAGAATTCTTTTGGGTGTGTCTGGTTTCATTGGTCTTGAAAGCAAAACACTCATGGAAGGCTAAGAATTCTCTTTTGCAGCCACCCTGAGTGAGCTTTTTTTTCCTTTTGTATAATTTACAGCAAAGGTAAAATTTTTTCTTTCCTTATTCCCGCACAATTTTGGAAGAAATAAAACTCATCATTTCATTTCACCTTAGATGAACTCCTCTGCTGTTACACAATGGTGGAGCATTCCAGGACAATTTGGCATTCGGCACCCGCACCCAACACTTTCTAATACCTTTTATTCTAACTGTATTGCTCTAGTGGTTGTACTCTTTTGTGGTTAATATTGAGTAACTTGATAAGTGTTCAAAGGATAAGAGCAAATTTTCAAAAGAATTGTAAACTATTGATAACTACATGAAAATATGCTTCCAATCACTAAAGTAAGAAAAGTGCAAATTTAAATGACTGAGGTTTTACCTTAACATTGACACAAATGACAAAAAATTGAAACAGTCATTGTTCCAGGGGATGGTGGGAAGACAGGCCCATGGATGCATTATTAGTAGAACTGTGAAGTAATTCAGATATTCTGCATAACACAAGAAATTACTGAAACTACCCACACCCTTTGACTCCATCATTACTGGGTGTGTACCCTAAGTCAGTCAGAGAGAGATGAAAGTCCAACCTATTCATATCAAAGCAGCATTATTTGTGATAGCAAAGAAATGGAAACATAGTACGTGCCCATTTATTGGAGAATGGCTGAAAAAAAACCCGATCTATTAATGTAACGAAATAATAGGTAATAAGATGTGGCAAATAGAAGGTGTTTGGAGACATAGGAAAGTTTATGTGAATTGATGCAGTTCAAAATGAGCAAACCAAGAGAACAGTGGACACATTGTTTATATCAATGTAAATGAAAAGATCGTTAAAAGGAAATCCCACTAACTGAAAAACCATTGATGATCCTGGAGAACAGATAATGGATCATAACTACTCCAACAGGGCAGAGGTAGAAGTCTAGTAAAAAAAGAATATAGAAGTTTAGCAGCTTACTTTAGTAGCATGGTGATATTCTATTTCCAGTTCTCCTTCTGTGATAGGTGAATGCTATGGACTACCCTTTTATCTCTCTTGAATTTAGAAAACCCATGTGAGGATGTCAGGGTCACACAGCTGGGCAGTGTCTGAGGCCACATTTGAATTCAGATCTTACTGCTCATCTGCTACACCACCTAGCTGCCTTTAGTTTCTGTAATAGCCATCACTAAGTCTTGCATACTTAACATTTGTTTGTCTTCATGAAATAGAAGGAATTGGGCCAGGCATGACAAAAAGAAGATCTCCCAGGGATTAGTTGTAATTGAGGAAGTTTCAGGATAGTTGCAACCATTAGGAATAAATGTAAAGTCCCGTATTTGGGTTCAAAAAAACACTCTGGGGATTTTAGTGGACCAGTAGTCAGAGGCCACCTCATCCAGCTTGGGCCTGAACAAAAGTCTGCTCTTCAAGAAATCATTGTCTTCTGAGATAGAGCAAATTGTTAAGTTGTAACTTATGTAGAGAGAGGCCTGAATCTGCTTCTCTGTAGCCAAAATCTGGGACCAAGCACAACAAATTTCGGAATTCTTTTGCATGATAGTTGTGAGGATAAAATACATTAACATACGTAAAACGATTTACAAACCTTAAAGCACTCTCTAGATAGAGATAGATATGATACGTAGCTTTATCTGCTGCTACTATACTAGATGCACTATGTATATATATAAAAAACTACATATGTTATTTTATATTTTATTTATATGTACTTTACTATATCTACTGAGAGGTATGTAGCTATTGTTATACTGTGTGTGTGTATGTGTAGCTGTTATTGTTGGTTTAAAGCCCTTGGTTTAACAATGCCATGTTGATTTTGTGTAGTGCAACTATACCCATTTCAAGCTCTTGGAGACCTGTGCCAGTGAGAACCATGACTACCACTGGCATGATGGTGTGAAGCGGTTTTTCAAGTGTCCCTGTGGAAATAGAACCATATCTCTTTACAGGCTACCTCAGAAGCACTGCAGGTATGCGATTTCCCTGGGTCCTTACTTTTACATCTTATCAGCATTATGACTCTAATTCCATTTTGTTCCACAATGTTACATAGATATAGTCAGAGCCATTGTGTGAGGAATAGCTTTTCAGTCTCTATTTGCTTATCTTATGGTGGGGCTTTTTTTGGGGGGGTGGCAGTAGAGGGGTGCCAGTTATAGAACTGGAGCTTCTGCTAATGCTTGGTCTGCAACTAGAGTTGGAAGGGTCAGCAGTGATACAGAGAAAACTTGGTGGTGTAAAGAATGTTTTAGACCTCTTTTTCCTGAAAGTGCAAATTTTTGAATTAGTTTTTAAGATAAAGGTCCTGTATTGCTAGCTGATCTTCACTCCCTCAAAATGATTTCTGACAACTGTGGCAAGGAAGCTTTTTTGTTTTTTTTTAATGTAAAACTATAATATCTGCTAATAATAATTTCTCTATACTGAGAAAAAGCAGTGCCTAAAGCGCTCAAATGCAAGAGGACCTGGACACGTTTGCTCCCAGGGGGCACTATCATTTTCAGAGGAGAATGGAAGATGTGGCCTTCGGATCATAGATTTAGAGCTGGAAGTGGATCTCAGAACACATAGAGTCCAAATCTACTTATTTTACAGATGTACACATTGAGGCCCAGGGAGTTTAATGGACTGGCTCCAGATCATGATGATGATGGGTGTGGGGGGAGGGATTTAAACCCAAGTTCCCTGATCCCAGAGATGGTGCAGCTCTCCACTACTGCCTTTGGACTTGTTTGCTTGTGGACTTCTGACCCTGAGGCTGATAGAGGAGAGGCTGGGTCTCAAAGAAGCGGATGCTGGCAGTAGCATCCATTTTTTTCCCCCTGTAAAGAGCTTATTATCCTGCCTGTTTCAAAGATTAGAAATAGAGAATAACTCTAGAGCTCAGAAGGAAATTGGAATCTGGCTTTTCCTGGCCTGTGTGACTAATAGTTTTTTGTCAAGTCAACAAGTATTTATTAAGTGCTTATTGTATTCCAAGCACTGTGCTCAGTGCTAGGGATGCAAAGAAAAGCCAAAGAGTCCTGCCCTCCAGGAGCCCACCTTCTGATGAGGGAGACAATGTGTACAAACGAGGTATAGGCAGGATTAATGAGAATCTCAAGGAAGGGACTAGCATTAAGGACACTCAGCTCTTTGGTGCTCAAGTGTTGCCTTGTAAGATACGAGCAATAAGGTCTGGTAAAGAAATCAGCATTTCATTATGTTCTGCCTACTTCCCCATCCTTCATCTATGGCCGTATCATGACCTCTCTGCTGGAGAGAATTCGTGGAACAGCTGCTCAGGAATCTGCCTGGTGCTGATTGTTTTATGTTACAGAGCAGAGGGGTATGCTTGGTCCTCAGCCCCTACAAACAGTTTTTTGAGCTGAAAGAAAATAGAGAAAAAGGTATCTCATTATCTAGATCATGGGTGGGGAACCTTCGGCCGTAAGGCCACATGTGGACTTTTAGGTCCTTAAGTGCAGCCTAATTTGGATTCAGCCAAAAGGCCTAGGGCCTAGAAAACTACATGTGGCCTTAAGGCTACAGATTCCCCAACCCTGATCTAGACCTAAAAGGCAGGTTTATCCTTTCCCTTTTCTTTCCCTTTTCTCTTATTAAAGTCATCATCTTGCCCAGGTACACAGTCTATGTCGTATGATCCTGAAACTGAACTTCAGCCCAGTATCAATCCACCAAAAAAATCAAGTACTTACTTATTAGGGCCTGGCAAGAACTAATTATGATTTGGGAATCTGCTTGTAGAGTATGTGACTCCTAAAAAGTTGAAGACCGTTCTACAGATCATTAGAAAGCTCCTTTTATTTGAATTTGTAGAGTGACCTTCAACTTGGATTTCGTAATAATTGGCTCTAAGGGCAGACACGTTAGAATTGATAAGCCCTTCCTTTGGAAAGATGTCAGCAGAATTTATTATCAAGTAAACGGTTAGTGAATATCTAGGGGGAAAGGGGGTGTTCACAAAATACTATCATGGCTTCATGCAGAAAGGTCTTGCCAGACTGACCTTTTTTCTTTCCATTTTTGACAAGATTACTAAATTGGTAGATCAGAACAATGCTGTATGTATGGTTTTCCCTAGATTTTGGCCAAGTGTTATAGAGAAATGGTGGGATATGGACTGGATTTGTGGTGTCAAGCCCAAATTGAACTGGGGGCCACTAAACTCTATGTAAGGGTCCCTGCAGGCCACATATTGACTTAGAAATTCACTTATTGACATTATCTACGTTCTACTCTGTTTTGTTAAATCTGATTCTGGCTGTACTCACAGTAGTTGGTGTAAGCTGTAAGGTATGGGCCAAATGTTTGGCACCTCTGGACTAAATGATAATGCAGTGAGGTGGATTTGGAACTGGCTGAATGGCTAAATGTAGAGTGGTCATTAATGATTCTATGTCAGCTTGGAAGGAAGTTCCCAGTAGAGTGCCCCAGGGTTCTGTACTTGGCTCTGTGCCAGATTAAGGTACAGGTGGCATAGTCATCCAATTTGCTGGTGTCACAAAGCTGGCAGGGTTAGCTAACATACTGGATAATAGAGTCAGGATACAGGAAGATTCAGACAACTAGAATATAGTAAGAGGAAGTCATACACTTCATTTCAGTAGATTAATTTCATAAATACAAGATGGGGAAGATGTGGTTAAAAAGCAAGCTGTCTGAAAAAGATGGAGTATTTTGGTGAGCTTCAAGATTAATTAATATTAATGTGATAACAGCCAATAAAGCTACTTCGATCTTGGATTTAGGAGAGGGATAAGAAAGTGACAGTCCTGTTGTTCTCTCTCTAGTCACAGCCACATCTGAAGCAGTACATTCAGTTCTGGGCACTGCACTGTAGGAAGGGCATTGGTAAGCAGAACAGTGTCTGAAAGAAGTCAATTTATGATGAAGGGCCTCAAGTCCATGTTACGTAAGGACTAGCTGAAGGAATTGTGGGTGGTTAGCCAGAAACAGAAAAGATTTAATGGAACATGATCACTGTCTTCACGAAGTATTTGAAGAGTTGTCTTGTGAAGACCCCACAGAAGAGGACTAGGAACAGTGATAGAAGTGAAGGGAACACTTCCTAACATTCAGAGCTTTCTGAATGTGGCATGGTCTGCCATGATGGTGGTAGGTACCCCTTCCCTTGAGGTCTTCAAGCAAGGGTCAGCTGATCATTTGTCGGGTGTGTTGCAGTGTGAATTCCTTTTTAGGTGTGGGCTGGCCTCTCCATCTACCCACATCCCTTCCAAACCCCTAAATCCTACATTTGTTAACATTTTATGATTGTAGCCATGTATCATACTTAATAATTCAGACTTCTCTTTTATTTCAGTAATTGTGGCCTCTTCAAATGGGAAAGGGATGGAATGCTAAAAGTAAGTAACATGCAAGTCTCTGTCAAGCTCAATTACTTCACCTTGTGTTAGTAATCAATACAAGAAATGCTGGTCAGTCTCTGATTAAGAACTTTTTTCATTTTTCCAGGAGAAGACTGGGCCAAAAATTGGTGGAGAGACCCTGTTACCAAGAGGAGAAGAACATTCCAGATTTTTGAATAGCCTTAAATAGCCCTGTCTTCAGTAGTTAACATACCACTTACCTCTCTTCTTGTGTCTCCAGAAAAACAACCTATTGGTTCAGTATTGACCATAAATGGATACTTCTACAAAAGCAGGTTAAGCCAAAAAGAAACACCTGCTTGGTTGCTTTCACTGGATTGGTCTGAGTGCTGATATTGACATTTAAAATAAGAGATGAAGACAGAGGAATTTCCTGTTTTTTTCCTAGGGACTGACACTTAAATAAGTGGGTTCAGAGAAGGCACGCTTCCCAACCTGCACATGCAGTTAAAGCCAAGCTATCTGTCTTCTCTCATACAGGATAAGATGTTACATATCAGGATAAGAAGGCCTGCTTAGTACTCATTGAACACCCAGTGGTGAACTAAACAGATCCATACCTCTCTCTGGCCCAGACAGGTTTTTTCTTACATTCAAAGTGGAAGACAGGTGGTTGGTTTCTCTTCCTCTCATCTCTGTTTTGATTTGTGACCTTGATCTAGTCTTTGAACTTCTTTATTTCTCATTCTCTGCACAATAGTCCTGAGAATACCAGCCTCTTCCCTCTCCGTGACTCTCAGTGAATGAATGGTTGAAAAAACCTTTTAAATGCTTACTGTGTGCAAAAAAAACACTGAAGTGGTTTTGATTCAGTGAACAGTACACTTTATATGGCTTATAGGACCTTGCTACAGAAAGAGATTGTTTTGTTTTTTTCTTCAAAAGGAAAAAGGTCAATGAAATTTAAGAACCTCAGTACAAATTCTGAGGAATTGTTCAATATGACTACTGAAAGCATATAACTCATTGCCTGTAGAAACCTGTTATTCAGGATTAAAACAAGAGGGAGCAACTGTACATCTAGGGATGGGGGCCTTGAGCTCTAAGATTCTGGAAAACAAATTCAGGTCCTTCCTTCACATCTACCAAACCTCTAATTTGTATAGTAGTAAGTGGGTGCTTTGTTTCTCTCGAAGTTACATACCTCAACAACTGCACTTTCTGGAGTCTCACATCTTCAAGAAGGTGTTTTTATTGTCTACTAATGAAGAAGACTAATCATTTATCTCAGCTCACTGAGCCAGAAAACACTTGGCAAACACCAAAGTATTTGTAATGGCTCATTTCAAGTGAATGTGCTATTCTAGTTACTGGATTACAGCATCTGAGTCCTTGAAAGCATTTTGTAAGCTCTTCCTTCACAACCTGAACACAAATAGCCTTTTTGGAAGATCCACCTGGCCTTTAGGAACACTCTGTTGCTGCACAGCAGACCTGTTTTTCACTTGAACAAAATGAGGGACCAAACGGACTGGAGAGAGCTCCGTATTGTTACCTGGGGGGTAGAAAGACTCATAGTGCTGGCCTTTGATCTTAGTGGCTAATTGATGGCCTTAGCTATTGATCGAGGCTGGTGGAATTGATTTTGGGATCCACTGTTTACGCTGTATGAATATTCATACAGTAGTAATAAGAAGCTTACTTCTCACTACAAGAGCAAACCACACAACTGCTTTAACCTTGTTCTCTGCAAAGTGTATTAAATGTTTCCTTCACTACTATAATAAACGTGTCCTTTTCTTAACGTTGGTCATTGGTAACTTGGATTTCCACAGTATTTAGATCATCAGGTCAGATATTCTTCTTGGCTTTATTAAACCTTCCAAATGCACTGTTAAAGTAGAATCATAGAATTATAGATTTAGGGCTGTAAGGGATCTTTGAGGTCATCTAGTCTAAACAATTTCAATTTGTAGTTGAGGGAAACGGGTCCAGAGAAGCTAGTGTGACTTGGCCCTCAAAGAAGTAACCATTGGAACTGGGTTTCAAGCTTGGATCCCCCGATTCTCTGTAATCAAAAAAGGAGAACTGGATGGTAAAGAATGAGATAGATTTGTATGTTGTGCTCCTTGTGTCAGTCATCCTTTGGGTGGCCTGGAGGCTATGTTTTAAGTAATATTTAAACCTTTAATAAGTATTTCTGGAATTAATCACATTCCACATTTAGGTTGGGAAGTAATGTGCACTGAAACAAGGTCAGAAACCTTGTTTTCTAGCCTGGGCTCTTCCTTTGTCTGTAAGCCTCAGAAAAGTCATTTCCTAGGGCTTTATTTTCCCACCTGCTAAATGAGAGGAAGTCCTTTACAGTTCTGATAGTCTATGACTCTAAGAATGAGGGAGACATGGATTGGTGTCAGCTCATGTGAAAAAAAACAAACTGCCGTCTTTAGGCAGCCACAAACAAAACAAGGTAACAGTGTGACATGACTGTATTGACAGTAGCACAGTGTCCAGCTTAAGCACCACCTTATGCCATGGATGCTGGGTCCCCCACATCTGGAGGCCACATCATGAGGTTGGAGCAACAGCAGAGCCCCAGTCAGCAGAAGAAAAGACTGCAGAGATCACTAGGACTGTCCTGAGGTCTGCACAGCTGTTGTGTAGGAAGGGAATTTTGCTTATTTTGTGTCCCCAAAGGGCAGAACTAGAGACAATAAATGAAAATTTCAGGTGGCAGATTCAATTTGATTCTGTGAAATGAGCTTTTTTTTTTATCCCCAAAAGAAGGAGCTCCCCATTCCTGCAACAGTTAAAGTAGGTTCTGGAAAGCCAAACTGATAACCTCGAAGATTCTATGATCCTAACTTCATGTTCCCTTAAGACTCAACTTGAGATCCTCAAAAGAGCAATATTTATAGAATCAAGCTTTACTTAATGGCCTTCCATGAGTGTAAAGGGGTAGTAATTATGAGCTAAGTAAAAGATAACTATCCCAAAGCAAGATTGGCCTCTGTCACCTGGTGGGATTATCTGAGAGGCTGGAGGAAAGCTCTTCTGCCTAAAAACACCGGCATCAACTGATGCTTAGGATTTTAACCTGCCATTTTAATCTTTGTCATGCTTCTTCCTTGTCTTATCTATTAAAATAATTCCTGAGAAGAGTCATTATGCTTAAAGTCATTCACACTACAGCTTTGTGACTTCTGCCAGTTGGAGAATATAATGTACTTGGGCAAGAGGGAGATAGTCATTGAGAGAAAAATGGTGCAGAAACATGAGACCATGAGTCCTGAAGGCACGCTTTTCTTCATGATTTTACCAAAGGACTTCCTTGTCTAAAAGTACAAATCCCCCTCTTACTAATTTCTGGCTTAAATGTAACAATTCCCAGATCCTTGATAGTGTTTGCTTGAGTGTGGCTTACCCTGCCAAGGATATTACTGGAATTTAATACAGTATTTAAAAACTTACGCGGTATAATGGAGCCTTTGTAAAGAATTTGGGGTGGGGAGGGACGTAGTAGAATTCACGATTGAGCCTAGTAAACATTTCCAGCTGGGATTATTTATCCAGAGCTAGACTGCCAAGTCTGGCCACTGGAAAGGAAAACTTCCTTTGGCCAACTTCTCACCAAAGCAACTCTTGGTTTTTTTTAAATCTGTATGGCCCTCTGCCACTTAATGGAAATGTGTGCGTAGGAAAGCATATATAAAAGGTAATCCTTGTTGGTTTCTCTGTTAGCATGATGTGGAAAGAACACCGGATTTGGAGTCAGGCGACTTGGGTTTGCCTTGTTTCTTCCTGACTGTGTAACCTTAGACAAGTCACTTCCTTAGCTTCTTGGATAGATAAGAGTAAAACTAGATGTGGACCTGGGCAACTTGACAAAATTGAAAGCCTTATTTTGCATGTTGACTCCCCTATTAGAATATGAGCTCCTTGTGGCCAAGGATTGGGTTTTTTTTTGCCTTTCTCTGTCTCCTCAGCACTTAGCCCAGTACCTGACATATCGTAAACACTTCATAAATGCTTATAGCTTGCTTGCTTGCTTTGAAACTTTACCCATGTCTGGTTGCTTATTGACCCATTCATAACTCTGTGAGGATGATTGATCAATTGTGAGGGGAGGGAGGAAGAGAAGGAGCAGACAGCTGTGGGAAATGGAAAGATACCTGAACAGAAATAGAGATGGAGGAGCAAATTTAGTTCCCTGGTGATGACAATGTTGGACTGAGAGATGAGAGATGGTCTGCCAGCAGAGTAGAGCAGCAAGAAGTGGACCCAGCCTTCTCAACAGAAGAGAATGAATTCCTAAACCCAAACTTCTTGGAAAGGAGTCTGCATCTTGCTACTCCAGTGCCATTTGGCAGCTGCTTTTTCTGTGACCACGTGGTTCCACTCCCGTGGGCAAGCATCTAGGGCCTAGAGGTACTTCCACTTCCCCACAGGTATCGTTCTTGAGGTGGGTAAACAGACTACCCCAAGGATCCAAGCTCTTCATGATTCAGGTAGGATCCAAGAAGGTCGCCATTGTAGGACCAAAGAGCCGCCTGAGACCTTCTTCTCTTGGTCTGAGGGAAATAATTTACTCAATACTTGGAATGAGCCCTTAGATAGAACTGACCTTTAGGTGCTATCTAGCATTTCTTGACTAAACTAAGCTTCTTGAGGATTGGGGCCTTATCTATTTTTTTTAAATCTCACTTCAGTTCCTGTTATAATGCCCTGTATACAGTAGGTACCTATTACACACACACATTTGTTGTTGTGATTTGATCTAGCTCAGGGGTGGGGAACCTGCAGCCTCGAGGCCACATGTGGCCCTCTAGGTCCTTAAGTGCAGCCCTTTGCTGAAACCAAACTGTGAAGTGCTGTACTTGAGGACCTAGAGGGCTACGTGTGGCCTCAAGGCCGCAGGTTTCCATCTCCACTTCAGTTTGAGGTATGAGTCCAGAGAATCAGAATTTTAAAGTTGCAGAGGACCTCAGAGATGTTCTAGTTCGACCACTACAGGATTGCTGAATACAAAAATAGGCAAGACAAGTAGCTATCCTATCCTCCTTTGGTAGGACCAGTAGCAGAAAACATTTTTTTTTAGTCTTTCCATGTCAGAGAAAATGCATCAACCATGATTATCTTGGTGTGGGGCCAGGGATTATGAACTCCACTGGAGGAAGAGTATGTTGGCCTGAGCCAGCAAGCACCTCTGCCAGATTGCCAAGATGCTCTTCAACACAATTTCAAATGGTCAGGAGGAGGGAGGGAGATAACAACATAAAACATGTGCATGGCCTCCTTTCCCATTGCAGTTGGCCCAATAATCCAGAGAAGAGACTGTTCTATGACCTCTCCGTACCTGTCTCTCTTTACAGCATTCTAGTGAGAAAGGAAAAAAAATAAGACCACAGACCTCTCAGTCTAGACTGGGTCAGTGGCATTGACCATCATGACTTAATGCTTCTTTTGGTGGGATTTGCATTTTAAAACCATAAAACCGTTTGCTTGTACATAAATAATCATTTCAGTTTCATCAGGTAAATAAAAACATTAATGAAATGTGAAGGCATCAGCAAAGTTCTGACTTCCATTTTTTTTCTATTGCCATCACATTTTAATTTAAGAGTTTAAAAAAGAGCACTACAATGACAACTCAACTTTTTAATTAAGAAGTTGAAACATTTACCTTCAGCAACCTGAAGCATGGAATTGGAGTCAATGAGGCACAACATGTTTTCCTTAGCCTTCCAATCTAAATGGACCTGAAGGCATGTGAATTGCTGAGGATAGTTTATTGATTGATTCATTGGGTTGTACAATGATAATCAGCCACATTTAGACCAACTTGGGGAATTTGGTTGGGAGAGATAGTGTGCTCTGAAAAGACACCATGAACTGTGTATATATTTCAAGATTTTTTCAAGCCTTCAGTGTGTCCATTTTGAGTAACTGCTATAGCAGTACAACTCTATTGCCGGAACATGAAAGAGAGGCAAAACCATTTGAAAAAAACAAAACAAAACAGAACATTGAATTAAGAAATGAAAGAAATGTAAATGACAAAAAAGTCAAGTAGAAGAGGCCTTCTTTGTATGGGTACTCATGTAGCATGAGTACAATCTCCTAAACCTTTCCAGATTTGGGGGGTGGGGTGATGGGGAGAGGGGCGGAAGAGAAACAGGACTGAAACCTTTCAGAATTTAATGAAACAGTAGGGAAACTCCATCAGCACTTGGATAGTTGAGGTGACCATCCTGTCAATTGGCTCCCCATCTATTATCAACATGCTCTTAGTGGACAGCAGGGGGATTTGCTAACTCCCCAGGGAGCCCAGTGGAAATTGCTGAAATAGCTTGACTCTGGCATCATCAAGATTCTTCCTGGGTTCCTCTTGATCCTTGCTACATTTCTCTATCTCTGGCAGCCCTGCTTCTCTTACTTCTCTCTCCATCTCTTTGCTCACACCTGTCTCCCTGAGCAGAGTCCTCCCCATCTCACCACAATATGTAAGATTGTGCTTCCTTTTCCAAATTCATGCTGCCTGGTGTGATTCCTCCATCCAAGCACGAGACCCTGAATCAGCCTTGGAGGGGCCTTCAGAATCTAGTGTCCTGGAGCTCTCACTAATGAATAGCTAGCTGATCTTCTCTCTTGGACAATTTTAGCCCTGCTAGAGAACTTCTACCAAAGGGAGCTAATCTACTATGATACCTGGTTTAAGGATAAGAAAAGGAGGTTACCAGTAGAGAAATTGGGATGGAATGCAAATGCAATGAGTAACATTTTAAAGCGTCAAAATGCAATTTTCAACAGAATATTTTATAGCTATTTTTCTAAACTTAGGGAACCTTCTCCCCCTCTCTATTAGATTCCTATTGGAAACATCTTTAAGTAGATAAGTCACACTTTTACAACAATTACCACCACAACCAAAATATCTGTATAACAAAAATATTCTGAGACATTAAATCATTTATCTAAAGCACTGTTGGAGACAATCAAATGTCACAAAGAGTATCACAAAAAACTTGGGAAAGTCCTTCAATGTTTGTTGCAATGTAGTCTAACAATAGGTTCTCCCCAAATTGAATATTTATTTTAAATTGTAAACTGGAACGGCTTCCACTGAGAAGAGAATGAAGTGGAATGTGACTCTTAGATGGCTTGGATAATGGCATTCAATGCTGGAGTGTTGTCCAGGAACCATAACACTTGCCCAAGGTCACAAGAAGCCTTCTTCCCAAGGTTTCTTTCGTGTCTACTCCCCAAGTATTTCTTTATTAATTGGAATCTGGTCCTCCCATGTGCCCGTGTATACTTTGAATTCAAAATTCTCTGTTTCTTCATCTTTTGAATCATATATTCATACACAAGATGCAATTAGTTTCATGGTATTTGCCTGCTTGTGCTCATTCTGAGTCCTAGCAAGGGAAGATGAATCAGTATCCCTTGAAATGGATTTCCTTAATACTTCTACCTTCTCAAAGATGGAATTATCAGCAAGACAATGTATCAGCAGGGGCAGCTAGGTTGCACAGTGCATAGAACACCGGCCCTGAAGTCAGAAGGACCTGAGTTCACATCCGGCCTCAGACCAAACACTTGACATTTCCTAGCTGTGTGACCCTGGGCAAGTCACTTAACCCCAACTGCCAAAAAAAAAAAAGACAATGTATCAGCACCTCTGCTCTTTTTTTTAAGGCAATTGGGGTTAAGTGACTTGCCCAGGGTCACACAGCTAGTAAAGTGTCAAGTGTTTGGTCTGAGGCCGGATCTGAACTCAGTTCCTCCTGACTTCAGAGCCGGTGCTCTATCCACTGCTCCACTTAGCTGCCCCAGCACCTCTCCTTTTAGCAGAGATAGACCTCTAGCATATAATATATAGCATGCTATACAGTTCTAGCACAACAAAAAAAAAGCATCAAAATAGAAGGAAAACTCACAGATTCTCCTCAGAGAGGTAAATAAGAGAGTTGATTTCACTCAGAGAGGTAGGATTTGAACCTAGGTCTTCTAACTAGAACTGGGGTCCTTTCCGCCTTTGCACTATCAGACCAGACTTACAGTTCATGAGAGCTCTACCACTTAATGAGGGCTCAGCATGGTGGCAGCAGCTAAGTTTTTCTTTGAAAAAGTATTGTGTAGACTAATGTGGAAATCTATTTTGCATGACTTTATATGTATAATGGGTATCATATTTCTTGCCTTTCTCAAGAGGAGGAGGGAAGGAAAGAATTCAGAACTAGAAATAAGAATGAAAAAAAAATTATGTTGTAAATACAGTATTCTTCAAATAAATTACAAAGCAATCTGAAAGCAAATATATATTTTATTTATTGACTTAGTTTGCACTCTGTTCTTTTGATCAGCCATCCAGCTTTGAAGAGCAAAACAGGCAGAAACTACTATAAGTTTGGGCCTACTATATTAGATCACTTTGGCTTCTGGACTGCCTAGGACACATAAAAAAGTAAGCATCTGAAAATAAAATAAAAATAAAAATAAAAACCCTGACCTTCCTACCCAACAAAGTAGAGGGGCTTTACAAGGCCATGGGTGACAGTGGACACCATGATGAAATTCTTAAGGCTCCTAACTGTCACTATCTCTCAACCAGTATGTCCCAGCTGTGTGTGTGTGTGCGTGTGTGTGTGTGTGTGTGTGTGTGTGTGTGTGTGTGTGTGTAGCCAACATTCATAAATGTTCTTTCAGACTTCCTGATAAGTCTGCTCCCAGCTTGAGGTTAGATGCGATGGCGGTTATAGAGGTATGGTGGGTAAAGACCATCATAGTGCCATTGACGCCACTGTTCAACCTGTTCCCGGCTTCGCTCTTCTTGTTCTGAAAGGGAGAGAATGAGACATTGTGTCATATATCAGAGCTAGGAGCTCTCTCTGTTTCAGACATGGAGCCAAAGCCTTTGAGAAACCCTGAAGCCGCTCCCTCAACATGTTGGCTTATTCTTCCTTGAGGTAACCGGCTAGAAAGGAGTTTAGATGAGACAGGCCAGCACTGATTGGGATCACAGCAGTGGGAACTTGGATCTCTATGTGGGGCCAGGCATCTAAGAACCATAACAGAACCAAGAGAAAAAGTTAAAGGGCATCACCGAGAAATGGTGCATTGGCGATTGTGTGCATGTCCTTCTAAGTGTTAAGAGTATGGAAATATGTCTGAGAAGATATGTGAAGTTTCAAAATAAAAAAAATTACTTCCCCCCTCTTTACATTGTCCCCAATCTGTAAATGACTAACAAATTAAACAGTAAAACAAACGACCCTCCAGGACATTAAATGTGTGATCAACGTGACTATGGCAATGGAGGCAGTTGGAATAGGGGCATCATGGCACTGATTCATTTCATTGCCTGTGGAGGCACTGTGATGCCAGTCATGGGGGTCAGTCAGACTCTCTCTACTCTTCCTTTTCACCCTCCTTCACCTCCTCAACCAATTACAATGCTCAGTTGTCCTGAGGCATAGCTCTAGCTCAGAAAACAGTAACCCACCCTGCCTCCTCACCAGTCACTGTCCAGTGAACGAAAGGAAGTGAAGGTGCCAAACATGTTAGAGATGGGATTTTCTTGTGCAAAAAGCAAAGCTGGTAAGCGAACTTTGCAAGGTGTTTCTTCCCTAGACAGTCTTGGAGGTGGGTAACATTTCTCCACCCTTCCATCCCGCCCCTCAGTCATCTCCAGTCTTCCTAAAGCCACCCTCATTAGTCACATCCTCAGTCATGACACAATGTGTTGTGAAAGAAAAAATCATGACTTTTTCTTGGTGCAGTTGTCTTAGATATTTTGTCGTTGAGTCATTTTTCAGTAGTGTCCGACTCTCTATGACTTTGTTTGGGTTTCTCTTGGTAAAGGTATTGGTGTGGTTTGCCATTTCCTTCTTCAGCTCATTTTTGAAGATGAGGAAACTGAGGCAAACAGGGTCAAACGACTTACCCAGGATCATATAGCTAGTAAGTATCTGTGGCCGGATTTGAACTCAGGAAGATGAGTCTTCCTAACTCCAGACCTGGCATTCTATCCACTGTGCCACCTGGCTGCCCCTTTCTTTAAGCAATGATATTAACAATAACAATGTCAAAATAACACAGAGCTCATTTTTACATGTTGTAGCTGGGAAGAGGATGGAGTAGAGGACCTCTTACCTTCTAACTGCAATTCCACAAATCCTTGATTTTTTTTTTTAAAACAACAGACTCACTCGCTAAGTTGCAAGTGAAAGGGGTGAAACTCCAGAAAATTTGTATTTTCTAGTTAGTACTTTGGTCTAAGTTTCCTGAATGTATTCCCAGAGAGCTTTGTATTTTTGATGAGTAAAGTCAGTCCCCCTGTTATGTTACTTGGCTGATGGCCACTACTTAGCAAGGCAGTAATCACATACCTGGGGCTGCCCTCTCATCTCGGGAGAACTTGGATGGCTGAAGGCTTTCTAGGGTCTTTGGTCATTTATTATCATGTTCTTTTCACACCAGTTTTCTGGTTAAGAGTACACTTCACAGTGTACTTAAGCCAGAACAAACATGTAGAGAGGCCAGTGACCTCAGGACTACTTGACTAGCTGGTTGCCCTGAAGAACATTTCACTGCCTCTTAGCAATACACCACAATTAGTCCAAGCCTGCCCCAACATGAATAGATTAAGATGGAGGCAATAAGGATCAGAGGAAGGGGGTCTTACATAAAAGAGCTCTCTTTTCAGTGGCACACTTTTTAAAATTTTTATTTCATTTTCAATTTATGGAATTTATGGAATTTAATTTTTAATTTATGGAATTTATGGAATAAAACAAGCATAATTTTAAAAAGATGATTGTACATGAAACTGCAAATATTATGTACAACTTGCTATTCCTTTTAAATATATAATAAAATATCATGTAAATTTCCTTTTTTTCTTCCCTCTCCTCCCCACCCTAGAGATGGCTACTATCAGATACAAATAGGTATGTATGTAAAATTATTCTTTACATACTTCTATTTGTCATTTCTCTGAATGCAGATAGCATCTTTCCTCATATGTCCTTTATGGTTAATTTGGATATTTAAAATAGTTAAAATGACTTATTTGCTCAAAGTCTTTCTTCAAACAGTACTGTTGTTACTGTATACAACGTTCTCTTGGTTCCATTCGTTTCACTCTTCACTATTTCGTACAAGTCTTTCCATGTAAAAACCTTTTAAAGGATACACCATCTGTCTTTTCTTCCTTCCATACTGTGGGATATATGGATGTTGCTTCTGCATATCACTCAATCAGAGATTGGAGTCAGAGAAATGGTTTTGGGTTTTTTTTTAAATTTCCACAAAAAGGCAAATGGAAACCTTAAGGAATGCAGTCTGGGGGCTGGGTGGAAGTTGAGCAAAAGGGAGTTAATATTAGAATGATAAAACACTCGGTGGTGAATAGACTAACCAGCAGAAAACCAATTCTGAGGTTAACATAAAAAGGGGTGTTCCCAAGTAAAGGTCCAGTGAGCGAATTGTGGGGAGTGGGAGATGTAATTAGGGGCAGAGACTCACGTGAGGATATTAGGTACTTCGGATAGGCTATAACCTCTATAGTGCCCAACGAATGGGGAAACAGGGGGAGGATATTTGAATGGGGAGTAGAGAATAAAAAGGTGTGCTTTTGTCGATACACGAGTTCTCACATAGGTACTGTCACACTTGTGGGACGCCCAGCCTTCCTAGGTCGTTAATAAAGCTTCTTCCTGATTCAACAATGGCTTCATGGAATTCATGATAATCATATAGATAACACCTACCCATCACATAAAACAAGGGATGGAAATGAAAGCTCTGTGGCCTCCCTTTCACTTCTACTCTCCCCCAACCTCACCACCTGCCAATCTCCTGAAAAAAAAAAACCTCCTAAGAAAGAGCCCTTGGAATATTACTAGCTCCTTCTATCTGTATCATCTGTCTCTGAGAAACAGCTTAGTGTAATGGAGAGCTGGCTTCGAAGGCAAAACCTGGGTTCAAGACCCAGCTCTAATACAGGTTGTGTTTGGCATGTGTTCTAGATAACTCTGTAAGATCGCTGGTGGAAGAGTGGGTGCTGACCTGTACGGGTAAATGGAGTTTCCTCACCTGAGAACTCCTTATACCAGTGAAATCACAAGGCCATCTCTATCTATCTTTCCTTCTTTTTTCTTTTTTTTTTAGGCAATTGGGGTTAAGTCACTTGCCCAGGATCACACAGCTAGCATCAAGTGTTTGGTCTGAGGTCGGATTTGAACTCAGGTCCTCTTGACTTCAGAGCCGGTGCTCTATCCACTGCACCACCCAGCTGCCCCCTGTCTATCTTTCCAAGGAAGGTTTTGGGGTAGAACTGAAGAACCCCTCTACTGAGTCACACTCATTAAGGGAGCCTGGACCAGCAAATACACTCTTGTCCTATAGCCCCAGCCCCAAACTTCTTTCTGGATTTAGCATTTTCTCTGGTTCACAGGCCTCAGTATTTAATGGATGGGCTCTTAGGTCAACTTAACACTCGCTACGTCTCTTTATCACAGTAGTTTGGTCCCCCTTTCCCCTGAATCTAATGTCCTTCCTGGCTTTAGCAACAATCTCATTTGCACACTGGAGGGATTCACTAGGATTATCTGTCACTTGTATCATCCTGTGTGGAGGGTAGAAGTGGAAGAATTACCAGAAAGCCATGCTTTGGCCCTATTAATCTCCACTATCTTTGCATTGCCTCTGTGTATGCAAAGTTCAACAAGACAACCCCATTAAGAACTCTCTTGGGTTTTTACTATAGCCAAGGCCTTTACAGCCACCTTATTACTTTGGGGGTATAAATCAACATAGGAATTCTTTAAGGGTCTCAAATTAAAGTTCTTAGCTGTGGAAGAGATCCAGGAGGCTTGAGCAAGATATTCCTAGCTCTAACATCTCCTGTGGCTTTTTGTAGAAACAGGGAATAGAACACAGGGGTATTCCTTCTTTTGACAAGAAGGGAATACAGGCCCTTTCCCTACACATCGTATTTCACCACATGCTTGTCACCACCGCATAATTGTGGCGACCTGTGTTTTTTCAATCCAAAAATTGTTTTATAACCTTTCATTGCATAATTGTCACGTGGTATAATTCTGTTTGTCATACTGCTTAAAAGGTAAACAGAGCAGCAATGTATTCACCAGTGGCATATAGATACGCATTTATCTCTCGAGCATTTCTAGCAGTGAGCCTAGAATTCTCAGTGCATGTGCATTGTCAGTATATTTCCAAAAGAAAATTGCATGGTTTGTTTTGAGCACCACAGTACTAACGGTATTGTCACTCAACCCAATGAAGAGACAGGCGCAAGGGAGCAGGTGGGCCAGCAAAGCTGCCTGTGAGAAAGTCACATGATATGGTAAGACTTGCATCTTCCTGCAGTAGCTAAACTGTACAGTTCATCTGCCAGCAATACAGCTTAGCAATAAATTAGTTTTAAATAATACTGGCACAATTAAAAAAAAGTTTCACATAGTGATCACAACCTACTTTTTTGCCAAGAAAAAAATTGCCATAAAATCTGCAACAATTATGCAGCAAAATACTGTGGTTGAAGAGTTCTATACCAAGTCACTTTCCTGAGCTCAAGGTCAGATTTTATTCAGTATGATGCAATAAGATACAGTGATCATCCTGCATATTATCCCATACTGTACCACCCATCTCCAGTCCAGATAAGCTCATCACTTACTGACAGCAGGGAGGAAATCCAGCCTGCCAAGAAGTGAAGACCTTACTAATGATGCTGCCAAAAGCCCCAGTTGAGCCCAAGGCATCTGGGCTTTTGGGGGACCTGAAGTTTTTAGGGTTAGAGTTAGAGTTTGGCAGGGGAATGTATCTGAAAAATAAGAAACAAAATCTGGGAGCCTTTCTATCCAGCTCAGAGCCATCCAGAAAAATTAAATGGAACTCCAGAACTATTGAGAAATTTCCACTATGCACAGACCTAAAATATCAAGACTTCCTCTCAGAACATATGCATGTACTTTTCTGGGTTAGTTATTCAAAGGCTAGTAGGTAACCTGATTGCCTACTTATATGTAGCCCAATGGGCAGTTAGGTATACCGTGGATAGAGCACTGGGTTTGGAATGAGGAAGACTCATCTTCCTGAGTTCTAATCTGACCTCAGACACTTACTAGCTGTGTGACCCTGGGTAAGTGACACAACCCTATTTGTCTCAGTTCCTCATCTGTAATACGGACTGGAGAAGGAAATGGCAAACCACTCCAGTATCCTTGCCAAGGAAACCCCAAATGGGGTCATGAAGAGTCAGATACAACTGAAACAACTCTACAACAATGACAAAATACAGTCCAATGTGAAACTATTACTAGGACTTCTCATTCAAACAGGTATTGGAGATCTCCAGAGAAAGGTTGCTGACAATGGGAAGATACAATTGCAGTTAAATCTTTCCTAGAAATTGATTCCCATCCAAAGCAAGGCAGTCTTGGCAGGAAAGTAGTATAGTAGCTCAATGAACAGACTAGACTGTGAGTGAGAGGCCCAGAGTTCAAGTTCTGGCATGCAGCTGACTACTATGTGACATTGGATAAGTCATTTAACCCCCTCAGGCCCAAGTTTCTTCTTTAAAATGAAGCTGACTTTTTTTTTGCAGGGGGGGGAGCTTGTTTTTAGGCAATTGGGATTAAGTAACTTGCCCAGGGTCACATAGCTAGTAAGTGTCAAGTGTTTGGTCTGAGGCCGGATTTGAACTCAGGTCCTCCTGACTTCAGGGCCCATCCTCTATCCACTGTGCCACCTAGCTGCTCCAAAGGAGTTGACTTCTAAGGCTACTTTTGAGTTTAAATCTATGACTCTACGAATGTGCACATGGCAAGAGTGACTTCACTTACCGAAAATATAAAATTTCTCTGCAAAGATACATAGAAACCATAGTTGAGTAACTAAGTAGAAAATGCAGTACTTGGAGGCTTTTAAAAATTGTTCTAGGCATCTGAATGACCAGGATAGCTCAATATACAAATATCATCAGCAACAGTAGTCACCATGTCGCTGTGGGAAGGTTGGTATGTCTCAATTCCTTTTTGGATGATTCGTGCCTGTGCATGTGCCAGGCTCATGCTTTACAGACCTCTTTTCTAATTCACTATTTTTTGCTCCCATCCTGAGGTTAGATCTCTGTAGAAATGTGGTAAATAAAGCCTTGGGTTTTTCCAAAGCCAAGGGTGATGAGGAGAACTAGGTCCTAGAGTCAAAAGTTTGGCATCTGTCCAAGCTACTTGGAAATAAGCTAAATATCCCACTGCAACCGTCATCACTACTTAACGGATGAGTTGCTAAAACAGAAAAAACAGCCAGGTTCTACCTCCTCATACAACTCCTCTCATTTTCTGTTACTGGGTTTAGCCCCGCGGGTGAACAGGGAAATTTGGGGGAATGGAATGGGCAAGTAGGTGAAGTGGTTCTGAGTTGAAGCCATAGTTAAAAGGTCTTTGGGGACCCACAAGTGAGTCATTAGCTGAATACAGACTTAACTAAAGAGATTAATTTAATCTTCTCCCCATCCCAGAAATTTACTAAATGAGGACTTACTGTCACAAAACAGAGTCTTGGGTTTTCCTAAGTGTGAGATAACTTACAACTATTTATCTACAATCAGGCTTCAGTCCCACATCTTCATCTACCTACAGATATCTTCACCTGGTACCTCAAACTCAAGATGTCAAAAACCAAGTTCATTTCTTTCCCTCCAATTTTTTTTTCCTTCTGACCATTTTCTTTCTGTAGTTACATCACCCTTTGCCCATTCTCCTATGTTGGAAACTCTGTATTTTCTTTTATTCTTCTCTCTTCTTTATCTCTGATAGCTAATTAATCACCAAATCCTATTGATTCTACCTCTACATATTTCTTGTATTGGTCTTCCTCATTCTAAATTCCCATTTCCATCATTCTAGGGCAGGTCTTCATTACCTCCCATTTAGTCCATGACAATAGCCTAACTGGTCTTCCTACCTCTACTTTCCCATCTCCAATCCATCCTCCACACTGTTAGGAACCTTTCTGTTTGGCCATTCTGAGAAATATTTTAAGTTAACAGCTGACATTCAGTTACCTTCTAACCATCTGGAATGGAAGATAGAATACTTTGCCTTTTCTCTAGGCTTTAGCCAAAACAGCAGATCTTGAATAAGATTTGCAAAACACTCAGCACAAAAGAATTGGAAATTGAGAGGATGCCCATCAACTGGGGAATGGCTGAACAAATTGTGGTACATGAATGTAATGGAATGCTATTGTGCTATAAGAAATGATGAACAGGCAGATTTCAGAAAAACCTGGAAAGACTTACATGAACTGAAGCCATACTGTACACAGTAACAGCAACATTGTGCAATGATTAACTGTGATTGACTTCGCTCTTCTCAGCAGTACAATGATCCAAGACAATTCCAAAAGACTCATGATGGAAAATGCTATCCACATCCAGAGAAAGTACTATGGAGTCTGAATGCAGATTGAAGCATACTATTTTCATTTATTTTTGTTTTGATTTTTTTGTGTGTGTCTTTTCCATTCTGTTCTGTTTCTTCTTTCATAACATGGCTAATGTGGGAAAATGTTTACATGATATAACCTATATCAGATTACTTGCCATATTGGGGAGGGTGGTTTGGGAGGGAAGGAGGAAGAAAAGATTTGAACTTGAAATCTTATAAAAAATGAATGTTGAAAATTATCTTTACATTTAATTGGAAAAATAAATACCATTTACCAAAAAAAAAAGCCACTTAGCACAGTGCTTGGTACATATGAGGTGCTTCTCTTTCCCCTCAGGAAACAGTGGTTCCCCAGTATTTAAGGTTAGCCAGATTAAGGCAGTGGCTTTCTGTTTGTAAATAGGCCAGGACCCTCTTGAGTTAAAACTGTGGTCCCCAGTGAATCATGTTGATGGGACTGACCTTCCTGAAATAAATAGCAGAATCCCTTTATTTCAAAACCGACTTCTTCCTTGAAAAAGGTCACAGACACCTCTTCTCACCTTTGGATTTGGCAGGGCTTAGAATACAAAAGATGAGATAGAAGCACATGACTTGATGCCCATAAAGGATAAGTAGAGCTTTAAGTTATCAGTCATTCTTTTGACCTTGTGGTAGGGCAGGAGAATAGACCTCTCCATTCTGCCTCTCTTCTGAAGAGCAATCGAAAACATTATGGCTCTTTCTATGAGCGGCAATGGTTAAAAGGTTATTTTTCCAAAGAGCAGAAGACCAACCAAAGATCTTTTCTCTCTCTTTCCCTTTTAATCTCTCCACCAGGAGTTGGAAAATATAAGTGGCATAGTGTCCAGGTAGGCTCAATTGGGCTCAGGAGAAGTATCCATTACCATCCTCCTTTCAAAAATCATTACATGTCATATATTTTTATGATATTATTAGAATTTTAATTTCATTAGATAGGCATTTTTAATGGCTTTGTCTGTTCTGAGCTAGAAATTTCTCTCTAATAGACCACATGCATGAAAGTCTCCATTAAACAACTCTTAAGCAAAAATTGCATATATTTAATGGAATTCAACCCACTGAGTACTCTAGCAGTTACCAATATCAAAGATCCCTAGGCAAAAAGACCTCTGGACCTTAATAGATCTGGGGTAGTGCAGCTTTGTTAACAGTTTTTTACACATTGCCATTTTGTGGCATATCCCTATTTTCTTCCTTGAAGTTAGCCTTTGACATTAATTTAAATCATATTTTTACCACTATAAAAATGCTAAGGAAGAGGTGAGGGGGAAGGGCAGGAAATAATGTGATTTCCACTACACACACACACACACACACACACACACACACACACACACACACACGGAAGATCCTTACCATCATTCTGCTCCTCCACAAAGTTCTCAAACTCATTCCTTTGTTCCTCGTAATACTCCCTTCGATGCTCATCTGCTCGAAGCTGTTGCCTATTCTCCGCTGTGGAAGAGAATTTACTGAGTTTACAAGGAAGGAAATGCCTGACTTCTTAGGAAAACCCAATCATTAAGCCCCATGATTGCTTCTCATAGTATCTCTCCCTGGGGAAAGGGGAGAGGCCACAGCTAACCTTCAAACCTGTCATAGACACCCTAAGGAATCCAGCAGGAAGTAAATTATTTCCCTGATGAGTGGACCTAGGACCGGAATAGATCTGCAAGATTTGGGGAGTACCACACTCTCAATGAGGGATATTTTTTAAATTAATATTACTTTCATACACAAACATATTTTCAATGGCAGAAATTCTACTCCCCCTAGAACAGAGAATGAACTGCTTTGCAGTCATTCGAATCGTGTGTTTTAGTGAAGAGTTGAAACCTCCAGTGAACACTATGTGACCTTGGCCAAGTTGCTTAACGCCTCTGGGGCTCAGTTTCCTCATCTGTAAAATGAGAGTTTAATGATGACTAACTTTGATAGACAGCTTTCTCAGCAATGCAAAGATCTAATACATCTCCAAAAGTCTCATGATGGAAAATCTTATCCACATCCAGGGAAAGAACTATGGAGTTTGAATGCAGATCGAAGCATACTATTTGCTCTTTTTTTTCCTTTGGTTTGCTTTGTTTCCTTTTTCTTGTGGTTCCTCCTATTGGTTCTAATTCTTCCTTACAACATCACTAATGTGAAAATATATTTAATAGGAATGTATATGTAGAGCCTATATCAGATTGCATGCCATCTGGGGAGAGAAGTAAGGAGGGAGGGGGAGAAAACTTAAAACTCAAAAACTTATGGAAATTATTGTTGAAAACTAAAAATAAATTAATAAAATAAAATAAAATGAGATTCTTATATTAAATTACCTCCAAGGTCGTTTTTATCTCTAAATCCCAAAGTTTTTACTGTAAGTACAAGAAAGACTAGTCATAAAAAGAAAAAAGGATTTCTTTTGATATAAGCAATTTTTGATAAATAATTATCCTTACTACATTTTTTTGGTCTGGATTTGTGTAGTAAGGATAATTAAGTGACCTGGCACAGGGTTAGCTAAGTCTAGCCTTGATTTCAAATCCAATGCCATTTCCACTATGCCATTCAGTCTCCAAAGGACCTAAATTGTTTGCTGAAATTAAAAAGAAGTAATCTGAGACGTAGCTTGGAAGCACAGAGAGACACAGCATGTGTGGGCTAGTGGGAAGGCTTGAAAATTATTTCAATCAGTCACTCAATCAACAAGGATTTAAGTGCTTACTCTGTGGACTAATTGCTGAGAAAACAAAGACAAAAACATTCACTGCCCCCAAGAACTTACATTCTAATGGGGAGAAGTGTAAATAAGTAGCTACATGCCAGATACATAGTTATTGTTCACTGGGGTTTTCAGTTCTTCACTGTAGCAGGACTATCACCTGCCTAGAAATCCTGGGTAAGATGTTTTACTTAATACAACCTTCAATCTCTTTAGCAGTTTTAGCCTCCACACTGAGCTGTTACTCAGATTGAGAACTGAGACTGTAAATCTTTTTCAGATGAACTCCTGCCTAGCTTTGCCTTGTGGTGACTTGCACAAAATAATACAATATTAATAATAACTGACATATACAAAGTGCTTAAAGCTTGCAAAGTACTTAACATATATTATTGTTATTTGATCCAAACTGCTTAAATGGATAGATAGGTACGTAGACAGATAGATTAGATAGACAGATAGATAGATAGATAGATAGATAGATAGATAGATAGATAGATAGATAGATATAGAGAGATAGATAGACAGATGTACTTATTAAGCACTTACCTGAGCTTAAGTTAATGAATACAAGTTTCATAGGCAAACCTAGATTTTTCTTTACACACCTTTATGTCTCCAGAAAGTATTTTGTATTTCATTTTTAAAGTTTAATTATTCAATTAAAATTTTTGAGTTTGTAAATTTGTCAAACAAAAATAATGTCCTTTATGATGGCGTACTCAACAAATGCTTGTCTTTAAAAAAAAAAATCAAAGTAAAACTTCCTGGGCACACATACTAATGCAATGTGTTGGCTACAACTATGAAATGCTGCTTGCACTTTGTCCCATATAACCTGAGGTGTAGCTAAGGAGCCCATCATTCAGCCCCATCAGCAGAAGTTCCCTGGATGTAAGTTGCCTAGTAAGACTGAATGGAGAAGTTGCTGTAGAGACCTGAGTGCACACCAGGTTATCCTGTGCCTCCTGCAGTATACTGGGGAGCTCTTTCCACATACTATGTCCATTGTCTATATTGAATGCCCAAAAGCTTCAGCCCACACCTCCCTGGCTGGGGACAACTTAGAACAATGGCAAATGGTGCCATCTCCTAAAGAAATGCCTGTTTTTCAAGTAGAAACATCTCTAGGAGATTGCTTTCCTGGAGCCCTTCTTTTGAAAACTACCTGATTAATTGAAAATAATTATTTTTTTTTAATGTGGGAACTTGTTTTGCTCATCTATAGCTATTTGTCACAAAGATTCTTTTTTTCTTTCTTTTTCAATGGGGTGGGAAGGTAAAAAGGAGAAGAGGTGAATTTTCATCAGTTAGAAATTATAAAATTTGATTGAAGTTTAGTTATGTTCACTAAATTAAAATTCTGAATCCAAAATTATGTGAGGGCCATATGTTTTTCCTTCTTATTGCAGGATTCTTTATTTAACTCAGAAAAGGCAGATTTAACCCTTTCACCCCCATCACATGAAAAAATTCTGTTGTATTTCTACCAGCCAGTTAGTAATCAAATAACTATATATTGAAGGTTTACTATGTACAAGACATTATGCTATGTGCCAAAAGGGAAACAAATTATACACATAAATGAGCCATCTTGACATAATGAACAGTGTGCCATGTTTGGAGTCAAGAAGAACTGGGTTCCAACCTTACCTCTGTTACCTACTGCCTGTGTGACCAAGGGCAAGTCACTGAACCTCTCAGTGCTCCAGACAACTCACCAAAAACTATAAGTTTTTAAAAAATAAATTAAACATTTTTTCAGTTAACAAAAATCTAAATCCTCATAATAAATGTGTAAACTCAAGCTAAACATTGGCATGTCCAAAAAAAAGTATGCCTCATTTTATAGTCTGAGTCTATCACCTCTCTGACAGGAGATGGACAGCAAGCTTCATCATCAATCCTCCAGAATCAGGGTTGGTCATTGTTTGGATTAGAGTTCTCAAGTCTTTTAAAGGTGTTTGTCTAAAACTATAATGTATAGACAATTTGGCATTTCTGCTTCTGTGGAGGAAGTTTCCACACTGAGTTCCCCACACTGATAAAATTAAAGGTTCAGATCAAAAGACATGGAGAGAGAGAGAGAGAGAGAGAGAGAGAGAGAGAGAGAGAGAGAGAGAGAGAGAGAGAGAGAGAGAGAGGCAGAGAGAGACACAGAGAGAGACAGAGAGAGAGACTGACACAGACAGCCAGAGACAGCCAGAGCCAGAGAGAGTGAAAAACAGAGACAGAGAGACGGACAAATACAAACGGGGGGGGAAGGAGGGAGAGAGAGAGAGAGAGAGAGAGAGAGAGAGAGAGAGAGAGAGACAGAGAGAGAGACAGAGAGAGACAGAGAGACAGAGACAGAGAGAGACAGAGACAGAGAGAGACAGAGACAGAGAGAGACAGACAGAGACAGAGAGAGACAGACACAGAAAGAAAGATAGAGAGAAAAACAGACAGAGAGAAGGAGAAATACACACACATACAAACAGAGAGAGAGAGAGAGAGAGAGAGAGAGAGGAGAGAGAGAGAGAGAGAGAAAGAGAGAGATACAATCTCTGCATCAATACATTAATACATCAATACTCTGTGACTTTTTCAGATGGGAAATATCTTCCACCAATTCAGATAACAGTAAATAAGTCTTAGAAAATTATATAAAGCTTAAAGAGGTTAAGAAGCTTGATCATGGTTACCCAGCTAGTAAATGTCAGAGGTCTTCCTGATGCCAAATCTAGTACTTTCTCTACTCTGTGTCACTGCCTCTTCCATTATAAAATGCCATCTATAGATATGAAATGCAAATATAAAATACATACAATTGCACACCAGTGTATATGAGGATATACAAATAAATATTGCTGGGTAGTATGGTAAATGAAGAGAACCATAAGAAAAACATAATTTCTCTAATTTCAAGTGAATGAAAGCCCCTTTTCTTATCTTTTATCCTCAGTCCAACAATTACTCCTTCTGGCTTCTAGGAGACAGCTCAGGAAAAGGAGACAGAGAAGAAAAATAATATGCACAAACACTGATCAGGCTCCTCACCCACCATTCAGCTCATCCCGGGACTTGGTGGATCTCTTGCCCCTCTTCTTGAAGAAATTAGAAGCATCTGACTCCTGGAGGAAGATCTTCTTCAAATCTGGAAGCAGAAACATTGACTAATCACTAAAGCATAAGGTCACTGCTATGCTCTGGGGACTAGCAGGACATGGTGACTTTCCCTCTTTGCTGAACTAGCAGCTCTACTTACTTTTTTTGTCCTCTTCTCCAGCTACTTGCTTAGAGCTCACAGCTGCACCTTCCCCAGACTCAAGAACTAGGTGAAAATAACACAGAGACAAAGTTGAGTGCAATGAAGCAGCCCAGCATACTATTAAGTGAAACTCTTAACCCACAGCCAAGGGCAAGATCATCTCCTTAAACTCTGGTTTCCTAATCACTAGTTTAAGGAATTTATTCTCCCACATCCAAGTGACAGGACATACCCCCTCCTAGGAAACCATAAAGCTGACTGCTCTGTATAATTTTATTTAACACACACACACACACACACACACACACACACACACACACACCCTTTCTGCAGCAATCTGGAAAATACAGTTTCTCCTCCTATGGCATCAGGGCAGAAAGTATAGATATCTAGTCTGTCTTTGCTTCTCTGTTGCTCATACTTACTAGCTAAAAGCACAAATGCAGTGAGGCAGGAGAGGAGAAGGATTTGCTTCCAAATCATCTTTGCTGAGCTTAATGATTATTCCTTGGAATAATAGAAAAGAGGAAACAAGTTTTGGAGGTTCAGATTCAGTTTCTTCCTATGTCAGGCAGACTGGGAGGAAGGGAGGAAGGGGGAAGGAGGCTGGCAGAGGGGATGACACTGGTGAGTAAAGGGGAGGGGTGTGTATTGACTGTGGCTTCAATTGGCTGTTCCTGGCTGGGGTATTGGAGGTGTTTCAGGCAACTTGAAAACATCTGCAAAAGTTGAACTTAGCATAAGGGTTACTTGGGCACCTAGAACGGCAAAGCCTGTATCACACCTGCCAGTCATAAGGTCCTAGCCAAATGATGTGCTGCTTAGAATGCCCAGGCCAGGTATTAGCTTTCAAATGGCAGAAAGTTAGGAGTGAGAAAGGCCGAGAAAGCTTCTTGTATGCTGCCTTTAGGAATGCTCCTGCCAGACTTCATGGAGCAAAGAAAGCAAAGATTACCAACCGACAAATTCTATTGAAAGAGAAGCATCAAAGAAGCATGGAAAGACTTACATGACCTGAAGTAAGTAGAACCAGGAAAACAATACAGAACACTGCAAATACGTAAATGAAAGGAAGGAAGGAAGGAAGGAAGGAAGGAAGGAAGGAAGGAAGGAAGGAAGGAAGGAAGGAAGGAAGGAAGGAAGGAAAAAAAGAAAGAAGGAAAAAAGAAAGAAGCTGAACATTGTATCATTATAAGGACTAAACTGGGCCCCAGGGAAGAGAGCAGAAAATACATTTTTTCTTTGCAGAGATAGGGGACAATGGGCATGAAACATTGCACATATCATACGACAATGTGTTAGGTTGGCTAAACATTTTTTTCTAATTCTTTGTCATGTCATTGGCCAGGGAGAAGGGGTATATTGAGAAGTAATTGTTATTGTTCATTCATTTCTGTTGTTTCTGATTCTTTGTGACTTCATTTGGGGTTTTCTTGGCAGAGATACTGGGGTGATTTGCCATTTCCTTCTCCAGCTCATTCTGCAGATGAGGAAATGGTGGCAAAAAGGGTTAAGTGACTTGCCCAAGGTCACAAGGCTAGTATCTGAGTTCAGATTTGAGCTCAGGTCTTCCTGATTTTAGGGAAGGAGGGAAAGAAGGAGAGAGAGAAAGAGAGCAAAGAGAGAGAGAGAGAGAGAGAGAGAGAGAGAGAGAGAGAGAGAGAGAGAGAGAGATCAACACGTGCGTGTTAACCTTTGGGGACTGGCCAATCATTCAGATTGTACTGGCCACATTGTTCCAATGCCAAACAAACTTTTGCCTAAAAGACTATTTTACTGAGAACAAGGCAAGTGCTCACACAAAGGTCAGAAGTGACACAAGGACACTCTCAAGGTCTCTCTGAAGAACTTTGGAATTGATTGTGAGACATGGGAGACACTGGCACAGGACCACCACTGTGGCATGCCCACATCAAAGAAGGCATCATGCTCTGTGAGCAAAGTAGAATTCTAGTAGCTCAAAAGAAACATGAGATGTGCAAATTTGGAGATATCTCTACTCCAAATGTTCATATAGGCTCTGTGTGCCCGACTTGCAGTAGAGCCATGTGAGTGCCTAGTGGTCTGATCAGCCACAGTCAGACACACTGTACCTTGGCCCCAATATAGTGATGTCATTTTGGTCCTCTTTGAGAATGAAGGACCACAACCAACCAGTACCCTCAATAAGTCCTAAGTAAAATACATAAGAATCTCATTTTTAAGAAAAAAGCATATATGTTAACTAGTAGAGATAACATGAGAATAAGAACGTCAGCTGAAAGGAACTTTTGAGATTATCTAGTTCAACCATACCCAGCTCTTTGCAGGGCCTTTCATTCCTTATACATTAGCTCAGATTTGTCTCTGATTTGTTGTCATCCAGCAGAGAACAGGACCCTGAGGGAAAGGGGTAAAATTAGACCAGGGGCTGGCAAGTAGGCAAAATTCCAGATCATGGAAGCTCTAGGTAAAGAAGTATAAATGGGGAGTCCTAAGCCAGCCAGGGGTCAGCAAGAAGCACAAGGGAGAAAGGAGACAGTAACTGAGGAAGGAGTGCCAAGCCAAGGCAAACTTTGCCTGTTTGAAGATTTTTCTTAGGGGTAACCCTCTCTGGATGCTTTGAATTTCAAATGACCTCTAACTACAAGAACAAACTTTCACAGGCTTTCTAATCTGGTGCCTTTTGGGGGCACTGAGAGGCCAAGCTCAAGGAACAAGGGCTAGGAAATGTCTCATGAGGGGACATTTGTTGGGAAGGAAACTCTAGCCAGAAATTTTTAAAAAGCAATTAAAAGCTCTTGTCAAAAAAAAAAAACATACACAGGGGCAGCTAGGTGGCACAGTGGATAGAGTACCAGTCCTGAAGTCTGGAAGACCTGAGTTCAAATCTGACCTCAGACACATAACACCCACTAACTGTGTGACTAACTGTGTGACTCTGGGCAAGTCACTTAACCCCAATTGCCTTCACTGACAGAAAAAAAAACCACATACACTTTACTGGTTTGACTCCATCTAAAAGAGTAACGTCATGAGATTAGAATGACAGGACCAGAATCATAGGACTTAAAGCCCAAAGGAACCTTAGAGATCATTTAATCCAGTGTTCTTTAACCTGGATTCCAATCTAGATAGGGAAAAAAATTACATTTTTATTTTTACCAGCTTCTAACTGAAATTGAGCATTTCCTTCAATTATGAACGTAAACCACAAACATTATTCTGAGGAGTCCATAGGCTTAAGCAGACTTCCAAGGTGGTCCATGATACCAAAAAAGTTAAGAATATTTAGTTCTTAATTTAGTACATCTCTGTCACTTAACAGATGAGCAAACCAAGAGATGCTAAACAACTTCCTCAAAGGCCATAAGGGTAGTAAGTAAGAAAGCTGAGATTGAACCTAAATCTAGGGCCTGTCTCCTTTTTCAGATTTTGACCTTATTCATTTTCATAGGACGATAAGATCAAAGGCCTAGAACTGAAAGGAACCTTGGAGACTAGCTAGTCCAACCCCATCATTTTATAGTGAGGATTTTGAGGTCCAAAGTCCAAAGGATTTGTCTAAATACATTTGTCTAAATACATTTTATTTTCAGCTGTGTCCTATACTTCATGACCCCATTTGGGGTTTTCTTGGTGACCTTAGACAAGTCATTCAAACTCTCCATGCCCCAGGCAACTCTTTGAGACAATGGGTTACAAGAACATTCTGATGTTGCATGTGTACAGGGAATTTCATCACCAAGGGCTCCAATATAAATGAAATCCCTGGTCTGGATAAAATGAAATTAAGTATCTCCCTGAGCCTCTCTATGACTTTTTCCATAAAGCAGGGTATACCTTGCAAAGCAGTGTCATCATGGGTAGAAAGCCAGACTTGCAGTCAAGAAGACCTGGGTTCCAGTTATGCCTCTAATTCTGGCAAGTCACAATTTCTCAACACCTCCAGGCAATTCTCCAAGACAATAAATTGTGGGAAAATTCCTGATCTGCATTGTTGATGCAAGTTGATGCAAGGAGTACCCATTTGGGTAAAATCACAGGTCTGGTTAAAAATAAATAAGCAAATGGAGATATACTGTATGTCAGAGCTTGCCTGGCCCAGAAACAAGAGCTGGAAATGGAGCCCACATTCCTCCAGCTGGAATACTTGCAATGCCTTCCATATTCTTCTTGGGTCTTCTTGTAGAGCTCGGGTCCCTAGATCTACCAAAGATTACCATGGGAACTAGGACACCTACTTTCTAAGTCCTGGATTTGCCTCTAGGCAAATCAATTAACTCTTTTCTCTACCTCAGTTTCTTCCTGTGTAAAATGAGGATAAAAGCAAAATCTACCTGAGTTGTTATGAAGCTGTAATGAGATAATGAGTGTGAAAATGCTTCGCCAACAATGAAGTACTGTACATATCTGTCAAAAAAGGGGGTTGAACCAGAAACATTCAAGATCCTTTCCAGGTCTAAATCTATGATTCTGTAATCTATACATGTGTAGTAGAGTAATGCAGTAGCACGTACGAGATCAGGGTCTGCTATCAGAAGGAAAGTCCTCAATGCCTCACTACTCACATATGCCACGTGAGCTGGTAAATGCTTTCTTTCCTCCCTTCAGGGTCTTCCATAGTTGGTTGTAATTTTAGTAGGTGGTCCAGAGCAGGAACTAGGTCTTCTGTCATATTTCTATAGGAGAGAGGAATAGCAAGATCGCAGTTACCATTCTAGAGAAGTGGAGAAGAAAATGGAAGTATACTATTTGGTATTAAATCCTGCTGGTTTTCAATTATTGGCATAGGTTTCCCTGTCTCTTTTAGCATTGGCTGATAAAAGACATTATGCCATCCTGGGTTCATGTCCTGCCTCTAACCTTGACTACTTGTTCGACCTTGAGTAGGTCATTTAGTTTTTCTAAAGCCTTATTTCCTCATCTGTAAAATGAGGGGTTGGGTCTAGATGAGCTCTAAAGTCCCTTCTAGATCGAAATCTATGATCTAATGATCCAGAGAACATGCCCTGAAAGCTTTAACCCTATCAGTTTTGTAACATCCATACTACATCCCAGGTTGTGTCAATAGTGAATATGTATGAGGTGTTCAAGGATACCTCTGATGTGAGGGCTTGCTGAGCCCTTTTCAAGGCTGCTCATCAAACTCTACTGTCTACCTGGCACTCAACTTTTACCTGTGGCTCTAAGAAGCTGTGGCATGTGCAGGGGTTGTAACCTAGTAAATCATCTTGGCAAACAGGCTAAACCAAGCTGAGGGTAACTGAGAGGCCTCAAACTGTTGCTGAGTTATGGGGATGTCTACCCCAAGCATGTGAAGACTTCACTAGCACAATGGACAGATGAGAACAGTTTGTCCAGTGGGCATGAAGGTGGCTGAAGCAGACACTGTGGAGTGCTTAGAGCTTGGTCAGACATCGAAGATGCCAAATGCCAAAGTCATCCACTGCATCCCAGGCCATCACCAGTCTGCCTCACTTAAATCCAATTCATGCATGAGTCAAGACATTACCCCATGATATCATTGGTT